TTTGTATAAATATGGGGTGATAAAGCTCCTGAGTTTGGGCTTTGAGATTAAAGAGTGACAAGAGAGCATTTAGTTGTAGGTAAATTCCCACTTTCGTTTGAGTGTTACTGAGGCAGGGCACTGGATCACCTCAGGATCACCCCATTCACAGCTGTGTCAGGAGAGACTTGGTGGCTCTTGGCTGAGGCCTGGCTCTCACTGCCAAGTCAGGCTCCTCTCCTGCCACTGCCGCAGGACCTCTTCCTCTCCCTACAGCCTCTCCTTGTCCTGCTTCATCTCCAGCCAGCAGGGGAGGCTTGGACACAAACAGTGCCGCCTGGCCTCCCTTCCGCCCTTCAGCTCGGCTGCCGTTTGTGCCCTCCCGTCTGCGCTGGCTTTCTCTCTGCTCAAACACTGCACAGGCAGACACTAAACCACTTCCAATTATTAGCATCTTTGTCGCAGGGCTGCAAAGAGAAGCTCTGCTGCGTAGCACGGTAGCTGGAGATGAGGTCATGTGGTGGTGTGACTCTGGAGAGATGTTTCCTGGCATTAAGCACGAATGTGAGGAGCTGGGGAGGGAAGTCCTTTGCGGAGCAGCTCGTGCAGCCCACGGGTTTTGGAGGTATTGGTTAGCTAAAGGGAGAGTAATTGTTTTGATCCCAGTTAAATGAAGCTTGCCATCATTAAGGTTTAAAAACAAATCACCAGCTAGACCTCCCAGATAGTGTATTTATTTTTTATTTTATTTATTTTTCCCCCAGTGTGCCTTCTCCCCACCAGCGGCTGCTGCAGGCAGTGACAGCGGGGTGCGTATCGCAGTGATGCTGCCTGACAGCCCAGACACACTATTGGACATGGAAAATGCTAGCTTGTAAATTAAAACAGTAGAACTTAAAGCATTATTTTGATTATATATAGTATGCATTGAAAAGAAAACAACGCTTTTAGGCAGTTGTTAGCACTGGCAGTCCTCAGCCTGTGTCACCAGAGGGCCAGGAGAGGGGTCCTGCTCTGGGGGGCTGGAGGTGGTTGTCTGCTCTGGCCTCTCCTGCCAGAGCCCTGGCAGTCCCACCAGGTCCCTGCCTTAGGGCCTTGCTGGTGTTTGGGTGCAGGTGAAACCCGCAGTGCTTTCTTGGCTGGGGTGTCTGGCTTGGTGAGATGTGCCCAGCCTATTCTGGCCCTTGGTTAACCAGGGGAAGCGCTCGTCCTTAGGAAATGTGCTCTCACGTGCTGTACCAGGAGCATCAGACCCACCTTCTGAGTGCCTGCTGCAACGTCCACGTGTGGCGTGGCCTTTCCCGTGTATGGACTGAGATCTCCCCACGGTGCTCCTAGCTAATCGTGTTTCTTAATGGGGGAAAAATGAGATGAAACATCCCGGCCCCTGGCTGGCTGTGTGGTAGTGCCTGCTTGCTGTGCCTCCTGGCAAGGTGAAATTGCAGAAGCAATTCAGCCGAATGAGGTTAAATGCATTAGCAAATCGATATCTGTGCTGCTTGCAGATTTTCTTAGTAGCTTCTGCACCAAGTTCGGCACCAGTGCTCAGTGCTTCCTTTCACGCTAGCACATGGTCTCCTACTGAGGAACGGGAGCTTCAAAGGAGATTAAAAAATCCTCTTTTTAGTTGGACGTGCTGCTCTGAGCTGGGAAATTACTGTTTCTTAGAGTTGCTGCTCTCTTTCACTGTGCTTAAAGTATCATGAAGGGAAAATGCAACTTGGATAAATGTGGATTGATCATTTTTCAGACACTTAAGCAAGCAATAGCAAGCAAAAAAACCCCACAACTACCTCCTGAATTTTTCCTTACAAAAATAGGACTGACTTAGCTGCTGGACGTGATTAAAGGCAAAATCCCCTCTTTCTCTGGAGTCACATCTGAACACAGACTAATACAGAACAGCAAACGCTTAATGAAGAAACGTGCAGGGGGAAATTGGGGGAACACCCGGGAGAGTTGATACTCTGAATGACTTCAGTCGGTACAGCTAAACCTGGGCAATAAGATTAGAGCAACATCAAAATAGCTGCAAGTCATCAGGTGTCACGTTCAGCCTCCAGTGATTTGTCTCGAGGCACGGTAGACTTCAAAATTAGCCTGCTGGATGCCTGGCAGCGTACATTAGGTGCCGGTAATTAATTGGCTGCTGAATTGATCTTTTCCAGTAAAGCAGAAGGAAAATCCCAGGGCTGGGTGGTAAGGAGGCACAAGAGCCTCGCAGGAGTGGCATTCTCCAGCATGCAGAGGTGGGGAGCTGCGTGGTTGTGTCAGGCAGCCTGGGCACAGCTCCTCCTGGACCCCAGCAGTACCAGCAGCATGCCTGGCGGTGCAGAGAGGGCTTGCAAGGGGGCTGGGTGTCCGTGGGGGTGTTTAGCTGCCCTGCTCCTGCATCCCAGTGCTGGTTACAGCACACAAGCTGCCCACACGCTCAGCTGTCCTCACAGGGTGCAGGTTAAAGATGCTAAATGTGCAAACAGCGCGCTTGTTTTGCTTCAGATGGGCTGTTACTTTTTTTCTAATGTCGTTTAGGGTGTCGAGTTAATTTCTTCCTGAGTGCCACGCTCAACAGCTGAAGACAAACCAGGTTGTTTGCAATGCTCATTAAACCATGGTGCCGTCTCCACAGATTGCTGTTGAGTCCTGTCACACAAACCACCTCCTGCTCAAGCGTATGCTTTAGTCTCTAGTTTATTTGGGGGTTTATATTGTGTATGGGCCTCATTTTCATTGCACAGAACTTGGAAGGCTTCAGGGTAATGGTTTGGAACTTGCTTATTGCTTTTTGTAGCTTAAAGGAAACCTGAACCTGGGCGAGCTTTGAAACATGAAGTAATACAAATGGTCAGAGGAGAGAAAAGCCACCGTAATGATTCGTGAAATTTGTGATTTCAGTTCACTCCTAGGGCATAATTTTGGCAGGTGAAGAAAAATGAATTTGTCCTTCCTTCTTTGTTCTGAAGACCTTCGTTATTCACAGCCAGTTTGGATATTTTGTACCTCTCAGTTTCAGCTGGCTGAGTCAAATTCCTCGAGAGCTGAGAGGGCGCGGTTTGAATTGCCTTCATTTGGTCAAAGATTAGCTGAAAAGAACTCGAGCTCGTCCAAGTGTGTTAACTGAGCGGGCAGACACTCCTGCCGCAATGCTTTGTGCATCTTGGTGGTGTTGGAGCTGGCGGGGATACGAGGGCAGCCTGCACACCTCGAGCAGAGGCAGCACCACGAATGGAAAGCCTGCAGGAACTGAGCACTGTCAGGCTGCCCTCAGACAGGAGCAAAAGGCAGATGGAAAGGCACACATGCACAAAATGATTTATTGTTTGTGAATTTCGACCTGGGCTGCTGTAGGGCAGCTTTTTGGTGAGGACATCTGGCAGCCAGCATGCTGCCGGCCCCGCCGGGCTGTAAGCAGGGGATGAAGGGTGTGCTGTCCCCTGGGAGCAGGGCTGATGGCACAGGGCAGTCTTTGTGGCCCAGTTAACCTCGGCAGCCCCAGGTTTTGTGCTCCTGAATGGGCAGGGGTTGGTGTATTTCCCGTTGGAGAGCTGTGCCTGTCAGCACGGGTGTTTGGGCCCTTTCTTGAACAATTTCCCTGCCTTTAGCTGCCACTTTTGGTAGAGACGGATTCAGGCTGGAGAGCGTGTGGAAAAGGGCTGCTAATCCAGCTTGGTTGTCTTCTGGGAAAGGAGCTGAAAAAAGAGCTAGCTCTGTCATACTTACCGCAGGAAAAGCCGGGAGGTGTACGGTTACCTTCCCGGGTATTTATAGCAAGTGAGCAGCAGGGAGGTAGGGGAGCAACTTCAGCTGAAAGGCGAGGGTGAGCAGATGACAGATGGATTGAAAACAGGAGCAAGCCTGGGCCGGGAATTAAAGATAATTTCTAACCGGCAGACGAGGAGGAGAGTGGCTGAAAGGTGAAGTACACCCGAGCGGGAGCTCGGTCAGCCCGTGCAAGGGGGATGCTGCAGGAGGTGCTTGGCGTGACGCTGCCCAGCTCCACGGCTCTGGAAATCCTCTCCGGCCTGCCTGCACTGAGCAGGGCAGCATGAAGGAAGACGTGTCTGCCAAAGGAGCTCGTGAGTTTTGCCAGCGCAACCACTGAATTCAAGCAGCCTTTGAAAAGGAAGCCGGAAAGGCAGGGAACAGCTTCTGAATCACTTGGACTTTGGCAGCCAATTCCCATGCAAATCAAGCCTCCAGCATCACCGCCGTTTGCATGGGTGTGCGCTCCCAGCCCCGTGGAAGGACAGGACGTGGGGGACAGCCCTGTGGGCTGCTGGCACGCGTCACCTCGGTGTCAGCTCACGTCCATCCTTCAGCTGCCAGGGGGGCATCGCATCGCTGCACAGGCCCTCGGAGGCTTTGCAGGGGTGGGAAAACACTGGGGAACGCACCCAACAGCGGCACGTCCCGGCCAGCAGCGACCTTGAGGCAGGGGTTTCGCTGGTGGAGGAGGCAGGGAGGTGGCAGCCCTCTGAGCACAGCAGCCCAAGAGATTCTCCTTCCTCTGGGGACCAGCTGGGGGGCTCCCAGCACCCCCAGGCTGTGCCCTGCTCGCTCTGGTCCCATGGCTCGTGGCGAGGGGATGCTCGGGGCGCCCTGGCTGTGATCCCACACATGGGGCAGAGGACGATGTCTGGGTCAGTGCTGCTCTTTTCCCAAAGGTTTCTGGGCGCAGAGGCTGCTTCTGAAAGCAGCTTTAGTTAGCTCAGCATTTAGAAATAAATAAATCTGTTTTGCTTTTCCCTTTCCCCACTAGAGCTGAACGAGCAGCGGGCACTGGGTGTCCGGGGCATTGCTGTGAAAAGCTGGCTAGGGCGGCGGATCGCCCTCCTCCTTCCTCCTCCTCCTCCTCCTCTTCCTCGCCGCGGGGGCTGCGGGCGGGGCCGGAGGAGGCCGAGGAGCAGGAGGAGGAGGAGGAGGAGGAGGGAGGGGAGGAAGGGGAGGCGCTGGGCTGGCGGCGCGGCCATCCCCGGGCTCCGCATCGCTGCGTGCGCGGAGCCGCCCGTGCAGCCGGCAGGATGATCGCCGCCCAGCTGCTGGCCTACTACTTCACCGAGCTCAAGGAGGATCAGGTCAAGAAGGTGAGGCCGAGATCCCCCCCCCCGCCCCGGCCCGAAGTCCGTTTCTTTATTTTATTTCTTTTTTTTTTTTTTTTTTTAAATCACCGATTTCGCTGCCGGCGTCGCTTTGCGCGTCCCCATAGCGACCCCGCAGGGGGAGAAGAGGGAATAAATCCTGCCCACAGCCCCCCCGGGGATGCGGGGCGATGGGGATGGCGGCGAGGATGATGATGGTGATGATGATGATGATGGAGGATGTCCCTTCCTCCCCCTGGCATCCATGGCTCCCGCGTGGGGTGATGGGGATAAGGCGACGGCCTGCAGCTGGCTCTTGGGTTGTGTGTCACAGCCACCCCTGAATTTCTGGGGAGCGATGAGCAGGGGAAAGTGTTCCTGGGGGTGTTTGTGGGCTGCCTTTAGCCCTAGGGGGCTGCCTCCAGCACCACCAGGGCACTGGGTGCGGAGCGTGGGGTGAAGGAAAACGGCACTGCAGGGCCCAGCGGGGCTGCGGGGAGCCGAGAGCCCGGGGCTGGGGATGCGAAGGGGGAAAATGATTGCAAATATCCCCCAGCCCCGCGCTGGGGCCGGGCTGACGTCACGAAGCTGAGGCTTCCCCTCGCCACCTCCTCCGGCGCTGCTACGTGCGCGGCGAGCACCCACCGAAGGAAGCATCCCCGGAGCACTCGGAGGACGCCCCAGCAGGGCCGTGCTGTGCCTCCCACCCCACAGACAGCACCAGGCCCCGGGGGGCCCTGTCCTACACCCGTCCTACACCCCAGGCTGCTGCAGAGCCCACCTGCACCCCCTGGATAAAACCTGAAGCTGCACCCCCTGCCTTCCCCATCTCCTTCGGTGGATTTGGTCTGCTTTTCCACCCAGCAGCTCTCGCGAGGCAGCTCCCTGCCTCTCCTGCCCCCACGCAGCGGCTCGGCCTTTCCCCCAGCCCCTTTTTTTCCTGTTCCTGGGGGATTTGGCCACGCTGTGCCCGCGCCAGGCGTGCGTGCCTGGGTAAGGCCTTGGGCGTCTCTCTGTGCCTGTTATATTTAGCAAGCCGAGATAAGCGTAAGGTTGCACGCTGCCCGAGGAGCAGCAGAAAGGCGGCGAGGGGGAGAATCGGGGGGCTGCGGGCACGGGGGACACTCGGTGGTGCTCCTGGGGTTGTGTATTGCGGGCCGCCTTGGCACCACCAGGCCGCTATTGTCTGGTGGCAAGGGGAAGCCTTCTGATAGAGCCCTCTGGTTTTGTGGGGAGAGCAAAATAAAACCCAATTAAAGAAAAGCAGGCTGCTGGCGTTGGAGGACGTGAGGCAGCTTTTCCTGTCTGTCTCCTTTCCGAACAGAGGCTGAGCCCCCTCACTTGGCTGCCCTGCCACCCCGCGAGGCCCTTTGGGCTCCATCTCAGCGTGCTGCTTGTGGGATTTGGCCCCGTCTCGGCTCGCCGGGGTACGTGCGTGCGGGGCTCCGCTGCAGGTCCCTCCCTCTGCTCTCTGCTGCCGGAAGAGCAGCGCTCGCCTTCTGCTGCTGCGTGCTCGCAGCCGGCCGGGGGCTGCAGCTCCAGGCGTTGGTCCCGCGGGGCTCGGCCTCGCTCCTGGGGTTTTGACGTGCTCAGCCTCCGTGGTGCGGGCGGCAGGTCACCTTGAGCATGCCTCTGCGGGGCGTGGGAGGGACGAGAGAGGGTTACGAGTGCCCAGCAGGTGAATTCGGGGATGGATTTGTTACAGGGGTGTCCCTGGTGCCTGTGCTGCTGGCCCAGGAGCAGCAGAGCTGCTGTGAAAGTGCCCGCGGAGCGAGCTCCTGTTGGCTCCAGCAGGTTTGGACCTGCAGCGGCTGGCGCTGGGGAAGGGAGCCTCTAGGTGTTGCCTGCTTTCTGTCCGCCTGCCAGGGGAACAAAACCTTTCTGTCGTGCTGCCTGGTGAGGGAAGGAAAAAACAAAGAGTCCTGCAATCAGGAGCCACACTTTAATCATTAACCTTGAAAAGAAGGCGATGGAGTGAGGTGTGAAATGAAAGAATTGATATTAAACCCCCCTGAAACATGACCTGCCCCTACAGAGGCTTTTTAGGAACCAATCTGATAAATGGTAAGCGAGCACGAGCAGTTTCAGGGTGCCTAAACGACTTGTTTCAACACGCTTCAGCTCCTGGTGAATATTCCTGATGCGGAGCACGACCAGCTCTGCACAGAAGTGTTCACACAGGGAAGGGTGCTCGTGCGAAGCTGTCGGGAGAGTAGGTGCTAATGATTTCTGGGGTTGTGATGGGAGTGCCCTGCTGTTGGATACCACCGCCTGCAGTCAGCGTCCCAGGAATTAGGCACGTGTCTGAGGAAGGGCCGCGAGGGCTGTGCGTTTCGCTCCGCACTCAGCAGCGTTCCCAGCGTCCCGCGGAGGCTCCTGCGATTTTGGGATTCCAAAAAGTTCTTCTCCCTGCGTACAAAGAGCCTTTCTTGTATGTGACCGGGAAAACTTAGGCGCGTGTGGTTTGGATTGCGAGATCCTATTTTTAAAAAATGGTTTGCAAATTCTGTCTGTTTTAAAAAAAAAAAAGGAAAAGGAAAAACTGATGGAGCGCTTGGAGGGCTCCTGCGGCAGTACGCTGGGACGATGCCCTTCTGAGGTGGCAGCTAAAGAAAGGAGCCTTTTCTGCTCCTTGCCCACACAGCCTGCCCAAAATCACTCCTGCTTTCCGCCAGCCCCAGGGGAGGGCTGGCACCCGGCTCCCTCGGGGCTGCGGGTCCGGGTCCGCCCGGGTGCCTCTGTCCCTGCCACTAACCTGGGGATAAGGCCGAGATCGGCTTTCCAATGGGCTGTGTTTGCACAGGGGGGAAAGGGGCCCTCCCTCCCATTTCCCCTTGCTGCAGATTTGGGGAGCGTGGGCTCAGCTGGTCCCGAGCTCACAACCCCCAAATCTGCGCTCACACCAGGGCTTTTGGTGGGGCTGAGCCTGGATTTGTGTGAGCAGGCCCCTGAGTGGCGGCGTGGGCTGCCGCCAGCCTTAACAGCCCCCCCTGCTTTAAAAGGGAACAACCTCAGGCTCTGACATCACTGCTCAGCCGCCGCGGCTAAAAAAAGCTCCAGCAGGGCTTGCGGCGGAGCCGAGCCAGGCTCTGCCTCCACTGTGGGGCCGTGCCGGGGCTGTCGGCCCAGCTGGGTGGCACGGGACACGACCAGGACCCCGGGATGCTGTCCCTATGGGTCAGGATGAGGCCGGGGAGCCCGTGGTGCCGTCCATGCCCGGCTGTGGAAGTGCTTGGTCACGGCGCGAGGGCGCCTGGCACGGGGAGATAGGCTATCAGCTATCGGCACCTCGGCTACGTGCAGCACCGCTTCCCGGGGAGCTGCTTTTATGGGAGCTTTAGGGTCTGATTGCATCTGGATCGTGCGTGTCCCGCTCACCCGTGGCATTATTCGTCGCTCCCCGTCTCAAAGTCCCAGCTGTACGGGGCGTTTGCGTGCACGGGTTTTACGAGGGGAGTTTTATTGATGCCCGGCCGTGTTCGGGTGCGGTGGCAGGGGAGCGGTGAGCGCTCTCCAGGCTTCCAACCTCAGCGCAGGAATGGCCCACGAGGCCAATAACACGAGGTGGCTCTTCCAGTTTTGCTGGGGACGGAGGACATGGGCAGGGTTTTATTTTCTTGATCCCACTGAGCTGCAAGCACAAAGTGATCCCAAAGGTGTGGCTTCGGTCTGAACTGTTTGCGGAACCAAATTTCCAAGGCAGATAATGAGACGAGGCAAGAACGGGCTGGCAGCTGAGATGAAAGGGGTGGGACGTGCGTTTAGCAAGAACCCCGCAAGGCCAAGTTGTGTTTCCGAGCCATCAAAGCATCTCTCGCTCTTCCTGATGATAAAGATGGGCGTAATACTATGGAAAGTATTATTACTGCAAAACTGGAGCCATCTCCTTTTTCCAGGGAGATAAACTTCCTTCCTGGGAAACCACGAGGGCGAAGTCAACACCTTGTAATTTGATGTTGTGTGTGGAGGAGGCAGACGCCACCTGCCCACAGTGCCGTTCTGTCTCTGCTGAGCCCCTGGCTGTGATTGCTTTGGGGCAGGACAGGGAAAACGGCCTGGTACACAGAAATGGGGGCTCAGCTGGCAGCACAGAGCTGGAACCGCTGTGGCGAGCCCTTCATGACGAAAGGTTTCACTACAAGGCACCTCTGGGGATTGCGGCGATGCCCCCAGCTCAGACAAGGTGCAAAAAGAGGCGTATTGAGCTTCAGCTTCTCAGTTTGCAGAGAGCCAGGAGAGATGAGTGGGAGGAAGGCTGGAGACAAAGTGGGAGGCTGTGGGTGAGCTTTTCTTGGGGAAAGGAGAAGGCAGAGTGATGGAGGACTGGGCCTTGCCTTGAAAGGCAGCAGGATGGACTTATGGGCCACGTAAGTCATAACACTTGTACCTTTTCCTTGATTTTGTACCAAAAGACAAGGCACGAAGCGCTCAGCTGGGCAGCTGGCTTGGGCAGAGCCCCATGGCCAAGCAGGGACAGTACATTGTTCTTGTAATTAGAGGGTGGGATGGCTCTGCTTGGGCACCTCGGGGTAGCCTTTCACCCTGTTGTGGTGTTTGTCCTTCTCCCCAGATTGATAAATACCTTTACGCCATGCGGCTCTCCGACGAAACGCTGATCGACATTATGGCTCGCTTCAGGAGGGAGATGAAGAACGGCCTCTCCCGAGACTTCAACCCCACGGCCACGGTGAAAATGCTTCCCACTTTCGTGAGGTCCATCCCTGACGGCTCAGGTAAGGGGCTGAGAAATTGTTTTCCCTATAAAGTATGGTGGAAAAACCTGTTAGAAATACACCAAAGCACTACTGAGAACTAGAGCAATTTGCTCCCTGGTGAGCCCAGACAGCATTTTGGAAATAACCTCCCCTCTGTGCTCAGTGTTGTTCCCACAGAAACTGTAGGATTTTGTGATTCCTGTGTCAGCCCCGCTTTGGTGGCAGCAGAAGAGCCGTTCCTGTCAGTCCCCCCACCAACAGCTGATAGATAACACTTCCACAGGGATTGGTCTGCCAAGAATCAGTACTTTGCATAAGATTTCTGATTTATGCAGCTCATGTTCATGTGATTTAGTCCTAGCAAATATAGCGGCTTTTAGTCATTTGCTGCTTGACTCAACCTCTCTTTTCCTACTTATTTTTTCCAGTGGAAGTACGAACCCATACTTGCTGAGCTATCAGAAACCAAAAAGATGTTGTATTGGTATTTGAGCCTCAGATTACACCTAGTATTTATTTTAGTATTTGTAAAAACAAACAAGCAAACAAACCAAAGCTCTCTATAGAGTATATAAATATTTTTCTAAACGCTTATTATTTAGTGTTAACACTGGGTGTCCATCTGCTGTAGCATGAGTTAGTTAACTGTATTTTGGTGGCTCCACAAATTAAGTTCCCGTGTGCAGCAATTACACAGTTTCAGCTGCTGAACAGTTCTTGCATGTTTTGAGGCTTTTTTGAGTTAAGATCAAGAAGTGAGTGGGTGAAGGAAAGAGAAGCCTGCAGTAGTTGGAGCTGTCTGGCAGGTGGAAATCTCCGATAGTTCTGCTTTGCTGTTGCTTTCTGCCACCTTATGCTTTTTAATAGAAACGCTATTGTCTGCCTAAAGGGAGAACAAGCTTGAACCCTGTGTTTCCCTTAAATGAGCGCTGCTGGCTGTTGTGTTGAAATGTGTTGAAACCTGCAGTCTGCTGAGAAAGGCAACCATTTCGCGGCTGCACACCGCCGGGTCACAGGCAGGGCTTTCTCTACGGGACTGCAGGTGAGGTGACCTTGTGCAAGTGCTGCCAGGTGGCTTTTGTGGGAAATCCCAACCTTTTTTCTGAAATCCCAACCTTTTTTTCTGAAATCCCCGGTTTTCTGTCCTGCATGCTTGAGTTCAGCTGAGTACAGACCTGTCCCCAGGTCCCTCAGGCACTGCGGGATAGCAAATCAGAGCCGCTTGCAGTGAGTCGCATAATTTTGCAGGCTGTTCCGTGGTACAAACTGGGGAGATTTGGAGATATGGCACGAGGAAAAGAGATGTGTGCTTGGCCAGGAGCGGTGTGAGAGATTGCTTTCTAAGGCTCTCTGTGTTTGTAGCATGGAGTTAGAGCAAGGCAGTGGTTTGCCCCGGACGATCTCTGTGTGCCTGGCTCGTCGTCTGTGTACGCAGGTTGCGAGCATCTCCCTGGCTAGCTGCTGGAAGCACAAGCAGAAGCATTGCATTGTTTTCCTGGGAAAGGCACGTTCTGACCCCACCGAGGAGGAATATTTGCTGTGGGCGGTGTCATGGCATCGCTTTCCCTGACTCACCTGCTCGTGCTGGCCACGTCAGGGCAGGCGCAGCGTCCCCGTCCCGATCCCTTTGCCTCCAAAGGCTCCGGGCGGGTTCGGGATGTGTCTGTGCTGCAGTGCCCAGGGTGGCTCCTGGCTGACCACAATTTCTGCCTTCAGCTCTCCCTCTGTAAACACCCAGGGCTGAAACCCCGTCCTTTTCTCTGGCCACTCTCTGATTTCCATCTCCTAAGCCCTTCCCTTCGAGTGCGATCGTTCTTCTGAGAGCTGGCTGCTCAGACAAATGCTGTTGTTTGGTTTTGGGTCTGTGCTCGTGTACTCCATTAACAAGGAGCCTTTGAGTCATATTTTTTTGTGACTGTGTTGATGTTGTTGTTGGCAGGGCCTTTTGCTTCATTCAGAGTGGTTTAGTCTATGAAAGCCACGAGGTTTTGTCCACAATGCCTTGAACGATATTGGAAGCTATTTCAAAAAGCTTCTAAAGGATCTGCCTAAATTAATTTACAGCAGCTTTGATTGTGTCTTTGTCTTATAATGTATAGATTAGATACTGCTCCTGAAATACTTGGAAAGAAACCTGTTCCTTTGCATATAGGAAGCTCTACACTGCGTTTAAAGGCGTTGTTATTGATGCAGAAGGATAACTCCTTGCTAAATTTTACCTTGTAATGAGCTGACTGCGCTGGAAATCAGACGGGCTAATCTGTTAGTTTCCTGCCAGGGAGGTATTGATGAAGTGCACTCTTTGTTTGAAGTGCTACTGGGGCATGGAGGCTTGAAGAAGGGCCATCTGGTCCAGTGTTGATTTTTCATTATTCATCGAAGGTAATGGTTTACATTGGACAAATGACACTCCAGGATGAGGACGCGTATTCAGGTATTCGGCTTAATGAGGTACTTGTGCTAAATGCTTTTCTTCCAGCCCTGTCCCAGTGAAGGCTGAGGAGCCGAATTCGTTATGCAAGCTCCAATCAGGCAGTTTGGCTGCCTACATGTTTGACAGGACATTTGTACTGGAGCTAAGCAGTGTTTAAAGCTCCGAAACAGGTAGACAAGCTCTGCGTGATCTTATGTTGGGACCTCTGAGTTTGCCCCTGTCTTAAGCAGCACGAAGGAACGGTCACATCGTGAAATCACAAGGCTTGGTAGGAGCTGTGGGCTCCCACTGTCTTTTTGTCAGGTTTTCTGTATTCAGGCTCTTGTTCTTTGTCGTTTCTCCCTCGGTGATGCTTTGTTTGCATTATTACACTGCAGCACTGGAAAAGCAGGAAGCCTTTTGCAGTGTGTTTGCTTCTCTTTTGGCTGTTCCCATTCGAGGTCCTGCCCCGAGGGATGCCCCCGCCAGCTGTGCTGAGTGGGATGGGGATCCTGGAGGTGCACGGGGCAATGAGGAGGAGCAGTCACTGAGTCAGGCTTTGGGAGTTTGGGCCTGAGATTGGGCACAGCAACCTCAGAGGCAAGTCTGCATCTGGAAATCCTCTGGGTGAGGTGCATACCCGATGTGTTGGTGGCAGCGTGGCCTCAGAAGGCTCCTGGAGCTGAGCTGAAGTTTGAAGTGACACGGTACGTCAGCAGGTACTGGCCTTCCCAACTGGTAGAGGTTTCTCCACATTGCATTTAGTTAGAAATGGAAAACTGATGATGCTGGGAATGGCCTTCCTGTAGTCATAGTTTAAAGGTGGAACAGGAATGAAAAAGAGCCCAGCGAGGGCTATAGGGTGGGACTGGCAACATGCAGCAGCGGCGCAGGAAGCAGGGGCCTCAGCTCACCCCACCTACAGTGTGGAGTGATTCTGGCACTGCAGCAAAGTGCCAGTCAGTGAGGGAACTGGGAGGAGAAAGTGTTGTGTGCCTGTGCTCAGCCTTCCTCTGGGTGAGCCCGGGGATGTTGTGTGCAGAGGCTTGCAAAGAGCCTCAGTGATTAACTGCAGCCGGAACGCACACGGCTGTGTGATAAGGTGTGTGCACTGCTTTCCTCAAAATTATCTTTTCACAAACTTCGGTGATTGCTGTCTTTGTTTGCTCCCTCTTTGATAAGACAAGATAGCAGAAGCGGTTCACTTAAATCTATTTGCCTTGCTCTCCAGGGGGACTGAGAGTGCCAGTTCTCGGTTAGCTGGCTCACACATCTGTCACCTGAACTACACCTTGGAGTCTGTGACAGTGGGGGGACAGTGGATTTGGCTCCAGACCTTTTAAATCCCAATTCCTTTCCACTACAGAGGGAGATGAGGGTATCCTAACTTTTTCCCTGGCTCCTGGGGATGTATTCAGGAGCTTACAAGGGCTAACAAATTCCAAATATCTGCTTCAGTGGTGCAGGACTTCACCTGGATGCCCTGCAGCTGAGAACTTGCTATAAGAACCGTGTGTTTGCTTGTGCATTGTACTTACTAGAGCTTATTTCTTTTTTCCACACATTTATGTTGCCTGCACATTTTAATTGCTTGTGTCTTGTTTTCCACGTAGAGAAAGGAGATTTCATTGCTCTGGATCTTGGTGGTTCTTACTTTCGCATTCTGCGGGTGAAAGTGTCGCACGAAAAGAAGCAGACGGTACAAATGGAAAGCGAAATCTATAACACACCTGAAGATATCATGCACGGCAGCGGGACACGGGTAAGTGCCTCCTCCTTATGACTTCTCTCGAAAGATCAGCTGCTTTCCCACTGCCGTTTTAGAAAAAGGGCACAAGATTGACCTTATCATCTTATCAGCTGCACCTATAGCATGCACGGACCCCGCTACATCTTTGTCAATGCTGAGGATAAACAAGTAACAGGGCATTCTTGGGTGCTGCAGCTCTGCTGTCACTGTGTGGGACACTTCTGCCTCGCTTAGGAGAAAACTGGCCTAGAAATAAGAATTCTGGCTTTTATAATAAATTAACCTTCTGGAGGTAGGAACAGAGAGCAGGAAAACAACTTGGCCTTGGTAAGCAGATAGCCAGAGCAGCCCTGTGGTTTTAACACTACATGGGGGACAGAAAATCCCGACAACCAAATATTTGTCCTGGCAGTCTGAGCCACTCAGCATTCATGAAAGGTACAAGTACATTAGAAACATTACAGGAAGCTGATAAAATATTTGGGGACAACTTCAACTTAATTTCTGCTGAAGAAATGATGTGTTTTTTTGTTGTTGTTTTTTTTTTTTTGGTCCCCCACGTTCTGAGAGTAGAAAATATTTGAATCCACTTACTTGGTTTTCAAGTTGTGCTAGTTGGAAGAATTTGTTTTCTTTTTATAATCAGGAAGCAGATTGCAGTGAATGTTTTACGGGTAGTTTTGTCTCCGTGTCAGTGTAAGACAATAGGTAATTTAATAGTTGGAAAAAGCACGGTTTTTACACTTTTTACTAGAATAGGATGCCATTTAAAAGTATAACAAGAGGCTTGCAGAAAACTTAAAGCTTGTTTCAAAAGAATAATAATAACAAAAAGTAAGCAGCATTTCTGTCCTTAATATATTTTCTGTAGCCACCTCAACATCCTTAAGGTGTGTAAGTGCTGCTACCTTTGTAAAGGTGCGTGTGAGATGGCAATCGTGGCTTGCAAGGAGTATTGCTGGGCTATCTGAACTGCAGCAATAAAATACCTTTCTTCTAAAGACTTTGCCTAGTATCATTGCTTTGTGACAGGCCGTGCAGCAGCTTTCCCATGGAAAGATTTTGGAGGGGAGCTGAGCTACGCTGCCTGTTACTGGTGGAAGCGGAGAAGTCAGGTGGCCTGCCAAGGAGGCAAATTTGGAGCCTGGGGCTGCCCCTCCATGAAGGGGGGATCAGAGGCTGGAGGCCAACAAGCAGCAGGGCTGCATGCACAGCCAGGAGGCAAGAATCTGCCCCAGGCAGTGCAGGCAGGCTGATTTAGGGTGAGACTTGCTGGAGAGGCGATAAGGACACTAAGGAGAAGCTGGGAGAGGAGACATCAGGTCTGCATTCTTTCCCGGGTGTTGCTGTGTTGGTATTTTAATTTTTAAATATCCCAAGGCCATTTGGCTGTCGGGAACCAGCAGCCTGGAGCTCAGGCTGATAATTTTTGTCATGGCTTTTGAACGGGAAGGGAAGCAAGGAAGGTTTCCAGTGAGCCTTGGTGGACAGTCGCTCCCAGTATTTAACGGGAAAAAAAGAGGTGACCGTCATCAGAACTGCATCCAGGCTTGAAGTCGTCCTGTGACAATATGCAACCTCAACTAAAACGCTCCATGAGAGACTTCACAGGAAAACATGGCAGATGCCCAGGAGGAGCACAGGCAGGTGGTGATTTGATGCTTATGACTGATGCCTGTGGCTGAGGTACTGCGAAATCTCTGAGCCAGATTAGTGGAATACTTGGACTGGACTGAACTGCCTGCACAGGGTAGGCCACTAATATGTTTTTCAGCAGGCTGTGTCATTAACTTCACTGAATTACACTCTAAAAGCCTGATATGTAATCAGCTTATTGAAGGGATTGCGATTTATGGCCTCGTGCCTCAATGGCACAGTTCATTTTGATATTTTCTACTTCATTGCTTTCACACTTCGATTTTCCCCCACCTGTCAGGTGCAGGCTGCCACCTTTGCTGGTCAGAGACAGTTCCCTGTCAAAGTCAAGGGCAAAACTCTCACTGACTTCCACAGTGTAATAGCAGGTCTAAAACTTGCAGGAATCCTGTCTTCTGTGTCAACGCAGCAAACAGGAGCGTGCTCAAGGCTTGATTTCAGCTCTGTGTGTTCTGCCACTGCTGGAGGTAGGGTTTGGATTTGCAGCTGCTCTCATCTGAAGCTGTGAGCTCCTTGCTCCTTCAAGTCTTCCCTTTTCAGGAGGCTGAGCCTCAGCTCCGATCTTCAGCTGCTTGCCAAAGTCTGCTGGCTGCCAGCCCAGTGCATCCCTGTGGAAACTTCTTGGAGCCCAACCTGAGCAGGCAGTGCCAGGGCCAGGGGAAGCAGCGAGGGCTGGTACCGCATTGCTCGGTGGCTGGCAGTTGTGTTGCTTCACGTCTTCCGCAGGACCTCATGATGGTGCTTCTGCTGTGCCCTGTTTGTGAGGTTTGGGTGTTAAGGTGGGTGTAGGAACATACCCATCTTCCTTAAGGCTTCTTGGAAAAAACATACTATGCTTGACAGCAGCAAAGTTAATAAATGCCTCTCTCCTTTTTTCTTTTTCCCCTCCTTTTGAGCAACGCCTTTTCTCCACGCTTCATTGGAAGCAGTAGCACAGCCAGCCCAGACGTTACTGACTAGAGCCAGCTACCATAGCACAAGGAACGTGGCTAATGGGTAACTGGCATTCCCCGTGCACGAGTCTCTGTGTGCTGCTTGCTGGATGCTAACCAGGGGAGGGGAGTTTTTGACAGGCAAACGCCAGCAAGTGTATGGACTGTTGTGAGCGATCTGGGATCGCTGAGGGAACTGAAAAGCAGGCCCTGTCTCTGTGTGGTTGTGGTTTGTTGCGTAAGGGAGGGATTGTGCAGCAATGTCCTCAGTCAATGTTGCTGTTTCCTGCTCTCCAAATTCCCAAGGGGATTGCAGTTGGTCCCTGGTTATCATCCGTAATCCTGGTAGCAGCTGGGAGTTTAATAAGGTACACGATGCAGCAAGATACTTTCGGATGGAAAACATAATAGAGACGTATCCTCTTGTTATTTTTGTGTTCCTCCTGAGAAATTGTGGTATTTTATTACTTTGCTGTAGTTATTTTTGTAACTCCTTTTTCTCTCTCCATTGCTGGAACAGCTGAAAACAGTGTTGCAGCAGTGCAGCGTGCATTACTTTCTGTGCTGCTGCACTGTGTGTGCTCCGGGATGTGGCCTTGATGTGCCTGGGACAAGGACTGGCAACATTTCCCTGGGAAACCACCGTGCTTTTGCTTATTTCAATCTGATCTTAGAGTAGGAATTGGTTAAAGGTGTTAAGTTGTAATGTTACATGCACCACTTCTTGACCTGCTTCAAACAGCAAAATATTCCTCGTCGTTTTTGTAATTGTCTGTAGTGCTCTGCCCTATCTCTGAGACCATAAATTATTCTTAATGAAGCTGCGAAGGCTAATTGCAACCAACAGATATCTTTCTGTACTCCCTTCCAATTATCCCCAGTCTTCTGGGCAGGTTTCATGGCCTTGGCCTGCCAACGCTGCAGATAGATTTTTATTTTTAAATATTGTGTAATTATGTATTTTTTGCAAAGAATCAAACAAAATATGAAGTTATCTTCTGGGGCAGGAGGCGACTTGTTGGCAGGCTCGATACCTATTTGGGGTACAGGTCAGCTCACATATGGCTTTTTGTTCTAGGTGGATATGGATGGGTATTTTTGTTGCTTTTATTGCCAAGGCTTGATTCTGGCTTTGAGTGTTGCAATCCTCTTGAAGGGTTGCCCAAGTAGCTTGGTGTGAAAGCCATCCCTCCCTTTTGGGGCCACGCGCTCCCTGGCCTGTCCCATGGGGCCATGAGGGACTGCTGGGTGGGAATTGGTACCCGCAGCCTGGCACTGGCTGCCTGCAGGCTTCAGCGTCTTAGGTAAGGCAGAAAATGCTCCCATTTGGGGTTGTTTCTCAGAGCATTTAGACAAGTCCCCCAGGTTTCCATTTCATTTGTTTGCTGTGTGCTTTAGGAAGAGATTTGAGAGGTGATGTCCTTCTGGGTGGCTCTTGCAACTTCTGACTTCTCTGGTGTCAGCAGTGCTTGAGCGAAGTGGATATCGATCTTCTGTGCATCACTGGAAAAGCGCTCAGCCTCATGTGGGACCAGACCCCAAAGGTTCTTTTAAGATAGTCCTTCCTGCTGTTGAAAGGTTAAAAGTCTTTTGTTCTCATCAAATGTTAAGTACAAGCGTTAGGGCAGGCTGGAGAGCATTTTGATGTGGATGTAAAAGATACAATGCAGAGTTGGCTGCATAAAATGACATCATATTTCATAATTTATTAATTATTAAGATGTTAACATACAGTGACTGAGAGCATTTTCATAGTTCTGTCATTAAAATCTCTTCAAAAACCTGGAGCAGATATCTTCCCCTTTCTCACCATCCCAGATGGTTTTCATACGCAGTTGGAAATCTTCTCCCCCAGACTGTACTCTAGTGATGGTTTTATGCTCTTCCCTTTCTTACAGCTTTTTGATCATGTTGCTGAATGCCTGGGAGACTTCATGGAGAAACAACAAATCAAAGACAAGAAGTTACCCGTTGGGTTTACGTTCTCTTTCCCGTGCCGACAATCCAAGCTAGATGAGGTAAGAAGATTTCACGATTTTCTTACTACGCAGAAGAGCCACCATGTTATTAACTCGCTGCTATGAAAGCAGCGTCCCAGACAGGTCTCACTTCACCATGAGGCTTGGTGTTTGTATTTACGTTTCTGTTTGAAAGAGCTGATTAAAAGATGACAAAGCGCCAGCTGATGTTTTGTACTGCCTCTGCGTGACCTTTCCGGTATTACGGCTTACCGTGTAAACACAGCAGCAATTTTGCCTGGCTCCTGTGCAGCCTTTTTCTCCTCTCCATGGAGCGTAACTGGGAAGGACCCGGTCCAGCAGCATTTGCTCAGACTTTGCTGAACTTCCCGAATGTGGACACTGATCCAGATCGGGGTTTTCCTCGATCAGTGGTGCTGAGCTGTGCCAATAGGCGTGTGCTCAGTGCAAAGAGGAATTGGATAGCACACCTGGAAGCAACGTGCTTTAAAAAGGCATGCAAATAACCAGCATCGTATGGAACCACTGATGTGACTCCCATGAGAAGGGTGCCCCAATATTTCCTTTATTTTGCTCATTTCAGCACCAGTGACTCAGCAGCCTGCTGGTGCAGCATTGCTGTGGCAATGGGGGCACAAATTCATGCGGGGAAGTTAAACCCACACTGAGCCCTAAGAGGCTGTGCTGTTAAAGCATGACCTGCTCTTCTGGCTGCCGGGGCTCTAGGTAGCCTGCTGCAACAGCTCCCAGATGGTGTGCTGAGCAGGGCCAGGTGAGGCAATGGTTTTTATTACGTTTCATAAATCTTGAGTAATGCTGAGAGCTGAAGCCAAGGGTACTTATTAGCTTGGGGTTTGAATGTGGTTCAGAGCAGAGAAGCGCCTTTTTCCGTGTTAGTTCAGAAGAGGTGAGTTCATTTTGGTGTGGCTTTGCAGTCTGGCCGTGGGGCATGGTAAGGCTCAAGCTACCTGACCACAGCAGAGCCGTGCTGGGCATGCAGGTGTGAAGCTGGGTTACCCTTGTTTTGCTGCACGAAATGGATAAACTAAAGCTCGTGTGGTGCAGGGGCAGGGGGGGAGCACATGGATGGGCTGGGGACACCCAAAGAGACTCAGAGAAAAGTGGTGGTAGAGTGGAGAGGGAAAGAGAGGCAGGCAAGGGTGTCCTATGATAAGAAGGTTTTCTAAGAGTTTTCATGATATTTAGGAGCTTGATAGTTTGCTGGGTTCTGTGGACTAGATTTTTTTTCCGGGTAGCTGATATATGGACAAACGTACATTTGGGTAGCAGCTGCTTGTGCCTACAGGCTTCAGCTTCTCTGCTTTTTAGCTTCCCAGACTCCTGTTGTGATAGGTGTGAATAATGTGGTGGGTATGAAAAGCTCAGCTGATCCCAGTCATCCTTTCTCTTGACTGCTGTCGATGCTCTTATCTTTATCTCAGTATCACTGACTTATTTACTGAGTGTTCTGAATGAGCTAGGCATCATCTGAATAGGAAAAATCAGATGTCGTCATTGGAATTGGAACCATGTCCAGGTTCCTTATGAATGGTAGTTTGCAGACAAGGAATTCAATACCAGGGTTTCCTTTTTATTTAAGCCATGGTGTATGACAGTTTTTTGTACTCTAATCTATCACACGAACTTTTTGCTTAGGTTCTTCTTCATTTAACTTTTAAATCTTGTTCTCTTGCCTTATTTTTATATCTCTTCATCCTTTCAGCACAGAAATTATTTTCATGTTTAGACTTTTTGCCTAAGCCTAGCATATCGACCTTTTATATAAGCACATAGCCCAATAGATGTTAATTTACACCAAATCCTGGCCCTTAGCTTTTAGCACAGATACCCACATACATATTTAAGCATTTTAACCCTTGCTATGTTTGCAGTATTTCCATTTTCCTTAGCTCATAAGCATTATCTCCCAGTGAAACAAGCCTGGGCAACTGGGACTCCAGGCAGCAAATGTGCAGCAGCTGGATGCCCATTGCAGCCGAGCAATGGCCATACAAAAATCACGTCCCTTCCCTTTAGCCAGTCCTGCACAGTCAGCTTTTTATAAATGCAGCTGATTTCTGTGGCCCAACAGGATTAAATGTTTTTCTAAGAAAAAACATCAAGGAGCTGAAGGCAGAAGAGTGGGCTGAAGATACAAAATGTAAACAAAGTGTTTTCTAGCAAGGAAGAGGAAAGAAAAACATTTCCCATCTTGCAGCTAACTGTAATGAGAATAAAGGACTCGGTCTCTTCAGATTTGTTTTGGTAAATTGCATAAGAAAAGAGACCTGGAGGTGATGTTGGAGTACAAAATCTTGTTTTTAAAGGAGAAAAAAAAATTATGTCTTATAGTGGCAATGTATTGAGTGTGGCTCTCTTCTTTTGTCAGGGTGTTCTGATAACCTGGACGAAGCGCTTCAAAGCAAGCGGAGTGGAGGGAGCAGACGTTGTGAAGCTGCTTAACAAGGCCATCAAGAAACGTGGGGTAAATTGTACATTATTACTTGATTTTTTTAAAAAACTCTGTCGTAGCAAACTTGTGGTTCTTTGCCAGAGAGCACCATTCACATCGCCAGCTTGGGCATGGGATGTGAATGATGGTGCAAATCTGCTTTCTTGTGTGAAGATGAGGTGTTTTGTTGTTTGCTGGGGAAGTGGAGCTGTCGCAGTGTTGCTGTGGGGAAGCTGTGATTTTCCTCGTAGCACAAAACTACGTTCTGGTTTGGTGCTCACGACCTTCAGCAATTTTGTCACCCTCCAGACACTGAGAAAAAGCTGCCCTTTTCAGTAACACCTACACCTCCCATTCCTGAGAAACTGCCTCTGGTGGTCTGGGCTCCCCCCAGCAGCTCGGCTGAGCTGTGCAGCTGGCTCACTGGGAAGCAGGAGAGGAGCAGAGAGAAGAGAAGAGAAGGGGGATTTCAGGCTCACTGAGCAGTGCTGCTCCCTGCAGTTTCTCCCTGCTGATTTTATGGAGGATGAAGGTGACCAGGTTGCTGATTTAGGCAAATAAAAAGGCACTGAGCGTGAGGTGGGATGAATTTGGGCTTGCATAATTCTCCCAGCCAGGTGATACTTTGATTACTCAGCATCTAAATTTGTTAGAAACTGGGCAGTATCTGCACAATTTGGGTAGCCGTGGATTTTTACATAAGCCTCAGTTTCACTGTCACCAAACAGCATTACTGTAGCCAGTTACTGTGATCAGAGTAACGCTGAAGACACTAGAAAGGAATGGCTGCTTGTCGCTTGGATAGCTTATTTAATTGCATTATTTGCTTATACACTTATTATTAAAATCTTAATTTGACATAAAACAATATGTTTTAAGTGAATTTTGTGAGAAATTTGTTATCTTGGGAGTATATTTTCTGTATTGACGCTCCAAGTAACGGCATGAAATTACTCCATGATCTTCTAACTATATAGTTCCTCTCTCCTTCATGCATTCCCCTTCTCTTTCCCACGTAAGGCTGTTATGTGAGAGCAGGTCTTTGCCCTCTAGAAGTCACGCTGCAACCGTTTGTTGGTTTTCCTGGTGCCTTAAGTCTGCCCTGGGTTGATGGGGTAGAGAAGTGGCAGATGGAGCAGGTGATATTTAAAAGTTGAGCTGTGGTATTCAGACAAATGATTTGTTTCCTGTTCTGGGGAAATTAGTGGGTTTAAGCAAAGCGCTGATAAACACCAGCAGCGTTTTGCAGAGCAGCCATATGGTACAAGTAACGTTTTGTTCCCCCACCAGGACTACGATGCAGACATCATGGCTGTTGTGAACGATACTGTCGGGACGATGATGACCTGCGGCTTCGATGACCAGCGTTGTGAAGTTGGCTTGATCATTGGTAACACACGCACACTGCTGCAGCAGCATGCACGTGGCTTTTTTCCCTTTGCCTGGCCTGTTTGCTTAGCACTTTCACGTCCTTTCCCTCAAGGCACTGGCACCAACGCCTGTTACATGGAGGAGATGCGGCACATAGACCTGGTGGAAGGGGACGAGGGCAGGATGTGCATTAACACGGAGTGGGGGGCCTTCGGAGATGACGGTTCACTAGAGGACATCAGGACCGAGTTCGACAGAGAGATCGACCGCGGATCCCTAAATCCTGGGAAGCAGCTGTGAGTGAGGCGGTTATTTACGAGCTCTCTGGCTTTTGCTGCCATGTGGTATGATTCAGGCGAAACATTTGCGCTCACTGATGCTAGGGGATGGTGGCGTGGTCCAGGCAGAACCGCATTTTGCCTGCAGTTTGCCATCTGCTGGGAGGAGAGTGCGTGTTCCCTGCGCAGGCACCATGCCAGGTGACTGGGCAGCCCTGCTTGGACTGGAGTCTTCAGGCCCCAAATGGTTTGCTCATTACTTCAAATTTTCTCCCTTAGTAGCCTTTTTCAGAGGAAAGGATCTGATCAGGGTTGCCACAGTCCCAGCTGGGGCTGTTGATTTTTACTCTATCAGCTTCAGTTCACAGCTTATCAATGTAGCCCTTGCTGGAGCCAGGCAATTAAAATTAACTCTTGCTGCTTTTGTGTACCATTCCCTTCTCCACTTACGTTATTAATTCAGCAGTTGAAGAAAGCTTGACTTTACCTGTGCTGGGGCAGGCGTACAGCTGGGCTCTGCCTCTTGGTGCTGCCTGTGGACCCTTGGGTGACTGCTGCTGCCCTCTCCTGCAGGTTTGAGAAGATGGTCAGCGGGCTGTACATGGGGGAGCTGGTGAGGCTCATCCTGGTGAAGATGGCCAAGGAGGGGCTGCTCTTTGAAGGGAGAATCACCCCCGAGCTTCTCACCAAAGGGAAGTTTGAGACAAAGCATGTTTCTGCCATAGAAAAGTGAGTACCTCTCCCTCCCTGGGTTCCAAATGGAATGTGATACACACCCGTGGGGTGTGTATCCAGCGTGTGGGGGTCCCCAGAAGGCAGCCAGCATCCTCTCCTCCAAGCCACCAGCTTCCATGAGCTGGGAGGTGGCAGGTTTCTCCTTCCCTCTGCTTTGGGAGGCACCACCAGTCCGTGCAGCCACAAGCTACTCACTGTGCTGCCACTCACCCTGATGGCATAAACCTAAACGTTGCTAGCCTGCAGCTAAACGTGGGAGTGAATTGGCTTAGTGCCTCCTACCAAATACTTGTGTTGCTCCTCACTGTCTCCGCGGGATCACTGGGCAGAAAGAAAATGAGTGTGACAAGGCAGAGCATTCAGTCTCGTGGGCAGTGCTGGGCGCTGCGTGGTGACCTCTGAGCTATGTGCCAGTTGGTTCCTTACGGTGTCATCACCCTTTCGGTCAGCACTTACTGGCTCTGCCCCCCGTGGTTTTAAAATTCACATCGCTGGGGTAGCTCGTGCTGCGGGGATTGGGCCAGCTTTCCAATTTCGGAATTCAGTTAATGAGAGCAAAAGTTGACCTGAAATTCCACCTCATTCCCTGAAGAACACTTTGGTTACAGCTAAGGAGGGTGTTCCTGTGCCACTTCAAATTTCCAGCTGATGCTAGCAAGATGCAGGAATCCTTAAAAAGATGTGTGGGAGTGCAGCTAGTGATGGCAAGATACACACCTTCTGTTTTTGTCTTGGAAATGACTGAGCAGTACGCGACTAAGTTTTGCCAGAAACTTTGCTCTCAGCCTGGGTGCTAACGTGGGAAAACTGAGTGCAAGAGGCAGAAAGTCAGGGAGGCTGTAAAAGCCTGAAAAGAGGGCCGTGAGGATGAAATCACTTTGGCAACCCTTACTCAGGGTTTTGTTTTTCATAATGAGCTTAATTTACTGAGACCTGGGAGCAGGATTAGCTGCACACTTGGGTCTGTGCTGAATTGTGGGGCTGGTGCTTCCTGCTCCAGAGAGGAGAAGCTGCTTAAAGTTTAAAGCATCAGGGTGATTAAAAAACATTTAATTCCTCCAGGTCTGTTAAAATTCTTGGAGGAGCCACTGCTGACTTCCTTGGGGTGCACGGAAGGAGCTGTCATGGGATCTGCTCCTGGGAGATGCCCCAGTACAGCAGGGCAGGGCCAGTCCCAAGCTTTGTGCCTGTGCTTTTGGGGCACAGGAAGCTCTCCGGGTACACGACTTGGTCTCACCACCTAGTGCAGCTGAAACCTGCTCTGTTGGAGAGAGAAGTGCACGTGGTTATTGTTTGATAGGTTTCCAGGGACATGGTAAACTGTTGCCCAGAGGGAAGGGAACGTGAAGAAGGCAGGATGCTGAGTACAGATGGAGGAATCCCAGCCAGAGGGTGGCTGCTGCGATAGCTGAAATAGTATATTTTGGAGGTGGCATGTTTGCACCAGGCTTTAATGGACAGATATTTCTATCTGTGAATGAATGAATATTAAGGGCATTTTGTTTTAAGCCTCAGAAAGCTTCTCAGTCCAGGTCTCTAAGAAATTTTCTTCCTAATCCCTTTCTCAAACCCCATGCAGGGACACATGTGCTTGGATGTGCCTCAATCCTATGTTTTATAGCCTCCCCCCTCTAAGGAGTTCCTTTACCTCCCTCTCTTTGTAGGAGCAAAGAAGGTTTGAACAAAGCCAAAGAAATCCTAACCCGCCTGGGGGTGGAGCCGTCCCACGAGGACTGTGTGGCGGTCCAGCACGTCTGCACCATCGTGTCCTTCCGCTCGGCCAACCTGGTGGCCTCCACGCTGGGCGCCATCCTCAACCAGCTGCGAGACAACAAGGGGGTCGGCCGCCTCCGCACCACCGTGGGGGTCGATGGCTCCCTCTACAAGATGCACCCACAGTGAGTCCCTGGCTCCTGCCGTTAGCACGTGCACACACACTTACAAGAGAGAAAAACACAACAAAACAACCCAAACCCCGAAGTACTTGGATACCAGTGAAATGATTCTGCCTTGCATTGGGGCTGGCAGGGAGGACTGAGTGTTGTTTATGGGGAAATCTGTAAAAGAACAAAACCACGTAGCATTTAATTTTCAGTTTGCCACTATTTTGTTGAAAAAAAAATATCAACAAAAACCATGTTGGTTAATTAAGGAAAAACACAGCATTTGGGAAGCAAAAACCATTTCCAGGAATGCTATTTTGACTAACTTTTCTAGATGTTCAGGTCTGGATAACATACATGGGCAATTTTTATTTCTGAACTGTTTCCCCACACCATCTAAAGGACGACTGAGGACCCGACTGAGGGGATCGGAGCAGTGCCAGAGCCAGGGTGTTTCTTCCATCCGTGGTTGGGTTCAGGGCATGAGACTCTGAGTTCCCTGCCCTGTTTTTTGCTGACTTTTCTTAGGAATTTAGGGGGAAAGAGGCTGTAAAGAAGAGCTGCTCTTCCCTGGCAGTTTCCCTGCTTGGGAGGCCGTAGCTCAGGCTACTGAGGCTCCTTGCTCCCCCCGCAGTCAGTCAGTGAGGTTTTGGCGGGCCGTGGGGGAGGTGAGGCAGCGGGTGGACGTGCAGCCTCTCCCTGCAGGTACGCTCGGCGCTTGCACAAAACCACCCGGCGCCTGGTGCCCGACTCGGACGTGCGGTTCCTGCTGTCAGAGAGCGGCAGCGGGAAGGGGGCAGCGATGGTGACGGCGGTGGCGTACCGGCTGTCAGAGCAGCACCGGCTGATCGACGAGACGCTGGCCGAGTTCAAGCTCACCCACGAGCAGCTGCTGCAGGTGAAGAAGAGGATGAGGACGGAGATGGAAGCGGGCCTGAAGAAGAAGAGTCACGAGACTGCCAAAGTGAAGATGCTGCCCACCTTCGTCCGCAGCACGCCGGATGGGACAGGTACAGAGCTGGTCTGGTGTGATCTCCAGAGCTGTGCTAAGGAGAAAAATCCCAGCTCTGGGCAGGGCAGACACTCCAGCCCAATTTCAGTGCCTCTGGGTGCAAGCAAGCTGTGGCCCACGGGGAGAAGACCACAGCTAGGCTAACCACCCAAACCCACCTGAATCCTGCCCACACAACCTGGGCAGTTCTTTGTGTGTCATGGTGGTCAGCTAACTGGGAAACTTTCTCACAGTGAAAACAAAGAGCAGTTCTGTTGGGTCCTCTTTCCCTCATTGATTTATAAAAACAAACAAAAAAAAAACAACCCAAAACAGCAACATCACAAAAGGAAACAAAAACACACGCACAAAAAAAGTCTGGAATAATTAGAGCAGCACCTAATATCTTCACCTGATGGACTCTTTAAATGCACACGTGTATTCTTTTACAGAGAACGGTGACTTTCTGGCACTTGACCTTGGAGGGACAAACTTTAGAGTTTTGCTGGTGAAAATTCGCAGTGGTAAAAGGAGAACAGTAGAAATGCACAACAAGATCTATGCAATTCCTATAGAGGTGATGCAGGGAACGGGAGAAGAGGTGAGTATCTGCGCTTCTCTTCTGCAGCACTGCAGCTTTTTAAATATTTTTTAAGAGCGGTGTAATGTACAACTTCAAACGCGTGACTTTTCTCTTTAAAGCTGTTTGATCACATCGTTACCTGCATTTCTGACTTCCTGGATTATATGGGAATAAAAGGTGCACGGCTTCCTCTCGGCTTCACGTTTTCCTTCCCTTGCAAGCAGACCAGTCTAGATGCTGTAAGTCCGTTAGTATTTTTTAAATCTACTTTTGTGCTTATGCTAGGTTGCATTTCTGTGCCTTCATATCACCTACCCGACACTTAGGCAGGTCGTGTGAGGGGAGGGTTCATGCTCTGACCCTGACCAGTACAGCTTGTCCTATAAACAGCTCCTTTAAAGGTAGTAATGCAAGTGCTGGTTAGTCCGTGGCTGTGCCGGATGAGAGCATTTACAGTTTCCGTGGTGGTGATAGGCCCTTTTTAATGTAACGTGTTTTTTCCCAATCATATAAACCTGCTGGACTGTGATACTGCCCTGCTTTCGTGAGTGATAAGCACAAGCTGGGTCTGTCCTTCCCTGCTGCCAGCGCCTGGTCCCAGGCTGATCTGGTTTTGCTGGATGGAGTGGATGAACCAGGAACTGGGGGAGCCTATAACATGTCCCTGTCAGCGTACCCGTGTTCTCTTGGCTCTCCTGTTTAACTCCTTCACTGCCATGCATCTTCACCAACTCCATCTGTGCAGCTGATAATAATATCATGTCTATTTAGCACTTTCTTTGTAGATAGATATCTTTTCTTTCACATTTTTTATTTTTAAGTTTGTTGCATTGCTACAGTTTGGGCAATAGTGCTTCTGGTGATGTGCCTTTTTAGTGAGCTGCATTTTCAAAAAGAAAAAAGTTTCCCAGTCTTGAACTATGGTATCTGATGTTTTGCATTTTTTTTTAATTTGTTTTTATTTTCTGTCTTTGTGCACGATGCGGAATGGTTCACTCATTAGCAAGTGTTTCTGTCTTGGAAATCTGGAGACTAAGCATGATTAGTTTTAGATTCCAGAGATTTATATAGAGAGAGATTTCTTTTTATAAAGTCTTCTGTATAACCACACAGTAAAACATTTTAAATTTCAAGTGTTCATTCAAGGAAGTTGTTAGATACAATTATTCAATGATGGTTCCTTAGAGGATTATAGGATTTGGGGCATTTTGTAGTGCATCAAGAAAAGTGTTAACCTATTTGCTTTCTTTTTAGGGTATCCTCCTCAACTGGACAAAAGGCTTCAAGGCTACAGACTGTGAGGGAGAAGACGTGGTGTATTTGCTTAGAGAAGGAATTAAAAGAAGAGAGGTGATTATTATTATTTTTCTTCCTTTCCCTTCTTTCTCCCCTGCAGTTTACAGACCTCATGGGTCAGGCTGGCTCCCTCTTGTGGGGTTAGCGTGCCTCGAGGAAACGGGCTGGGCCTCCTGCCCTGCACAGAAGGTGTTTGTCTTGCTGCAGGTCCAGATGCAGCAGCCCCTGATGGCTTGTGGCTGTACTGGCTCTGGTGCTGGCACGTAGCCCAGTCACAATCCAGTAGTAGGATGGTCTAGAGGGCATGCAGCAGAAATGGGAGAGGTCAGGCACCAAACTGAAATTGCTACTCAAAATGAGCCATGCTGGAGATTTTTTCTTCACTTTTTTTTTTTTTTCTTCCCCAGAGGCTTCTGAATTTGACAGTTCCCTCCTCACTCCCAGCTCTTGTTCTTGAAAAAGTCTTAAGCAGCTTAATTGAAACTTTCTAGGAAGGGAAGAAAAACAGCCTGAGGAGAGCTAAAGTTTAACAGAATTTTATCAGCAAATGTTGCTGTATTTGCTACTGCATTGCTCTGATACAGAATGGCAGTAGGTCTCTACCGTGTACTTATACACAAGATCTATTCTTAAGTATGCCTAAGCCAAAGAGAACAGTCAGGAATATGCCTTCTGCTGCTGCCATAGTCTGTAGTAGGTAAAGCATGCAAGGAGCCTTAGCTACCTGCTGGTACGCTAACTTCTGATCTCTGCAGAGGTAAATTCAGGCCAGTACTTCCAGCTATTTGTTCCTAGTGTGTTTTCACAGCGACCCTTTGTTGTGTTCTTTTTGTGTCCCCTTTGGTGTTCGGGGTGGCTCCAAACCCAGAGTTCTCACTGTTTTATTTTTCTCTTCCAAAGGAGTTTGACTTAGATGTGGTGGCTGTGGTGAACGATACGGTGGGCACGATGATGACTTGTGCTTATGAAGACCCAAACTGTGAAATTGGACTCATTGTGGGTATGTGTTAGAAATGCTTTGCAGTTGGCACTTTTTTTTTTTTTTTTTTAAATTAAACAGCATGCAGACACCTGTCTGTGTTCTCATGGAGCCATCCCTGTGCTTATCTAAAAATACAGCTAGGGTGTCCAGAAGTGAAAGATTTGGAGATTAACAGCTATACCTTCAGAAATGAGCAAACTTGAGGAAATGAGCAAACTTGAGCTCAGTTGGTTTTATCAGCTCCTGGAGTATTTGTTAGTTTAACCCATAAGCATTTTCCTGCCTGGGTGTTCAAGTGACCCACAGCTTGCCTTGAGCATGTGGTCTCTCAGAATAAACTTGTAATGCACAGCCACGGTTCTTGAATAGCATGCAATGGAAAGCTCTGATAGACAAAATGCAGCGACTAACAGCTTCCTTCCCAGCAGTGAAACAGCTGAAATAGTTCCACGGGTGACTGCTGATGCCTTTGCAAAACCCATGCCTGGGTTTGACAGTCCCTGTGGCATGGGTCCTGTGAATTCCCAGAGCTCTCCAGGGAAAGGAGTTTGCTGGGCTTTGCCAGGTGAGAAAGAGAAGGAAAGGGACAAGGCTTCTGTGAGCTTAAATAACATTTTCAGTTGCAAAGTGACTTGTAGGAAAATGAAGTGCCACCAGTTTCTCCTTCAGACAGTTGGAAAACATCCAGGATGAGTCAGCACAGCACAGTGTGGGTAGGGAGCTGTGTCTGTGAGCTCCATGTTTTCGGTGAGAGTTCTCTGCAGGAAGGGCAGTGTGTCCTTGGGATGCTACTGCTGCAGCCCCACCTCATTCAGTGGCCTGGGGACATCTGGGATAAGGAGAGCAAAAGCCCCAGGGCTTTAACAACTCCCTCTCCCCTGCTGGGATTGCCTTGGCCGCTCTGATGACTTTTCCCCAAGACCCTGTGCTGAGTCTCAGCTTGGCTGCAGCAGGGGAGAACTGTGGGAGGACCGACTTTTGCTCGGACTCTATCGATATATCACCTAGTGATCACAAAGTAAAACACACTTGCCAGTATAATTTGTGCAGAGCCTGTGATGCAGGGCTCACGTGATAGTTTCCTAGGCATCTTCAGGAAGTTCTGTGCCCCAGGTAATAGCAAATCTGCCTCTCTTTGCTAACAGAGCTCTGCTTCCTAAGACTTAGTGCCCACGGAGCACTTGGTAATTACCACAATCCTTAGGGTTCCTGTTTAGCAGAGTCAAACATGGCAGCATCTCAATGTGGAAGTTGAAACAGTTGAATTTTGTGCATCATAAAAAAAACAACAAACAAACAAGAACTAAAAAGTGCCCTGCCATTAGCCAGCAAAATCCCTGGGTTTTTCTTTGACTGATGCCTCAAGTCTTCCTGAGATGTTCACTTCAACAATTTTTCCTGTGAACTTTGAAGGTCTGTGGGCTTTGTGGAAGGTGACTCCTATCTTCCGAAACTTCAGAATTCAGCTGGCTGCTTGCTGTGGTTTGGGGTTTAAAAGCACTTGGAGGTCAGTGTGCTGAAAATGCCATGCTGCTGGTCCCCCCGCAACATGGGACCCTCAGCCCAGCCAGCCTGGATGAGTCTCTGCTCCTCTGAGCCGTGCTGGGCAGTGTGCCACAGCTTCCCTATAATGCACTAATATTCTCCCTTAGTTTAGGATTATCAAAGTGGTTTTTTATGTTTGTTTGTTTTTCCTTTGTGACTTTTGGAATTGACTTCTCATCATTCAGAAGAGGCACCTTCAAGATCCACCAGAAGGTTTGGTCAGGACTGGTGTTCTTGCTCCAGTGTTGTTTTGTTTAAAAAAAAAAAAAAGTACAAAGCCCACATAAATTTCACTATTTTCTCTTTTCAGGAACTGGCAGCAACGCCTGCTACATGGAAGAGATGAGAAACGTAGAGATGGTGGATGGTGAGCAAGGACGGATGTGTGTGAACATGGAGTGGGGAGCGTTCGGGGATAATGGATGCCTGGACGATATCAGGACGATATATGACAAAGCGGTTGATGACTTTTCACTAAATGCTGGAAAGCAAAGGTACTGTGGGGTAAACGCTGTGCTAAGAGTAAGCCAGGCTGCCTCAAATGCTTTTGAGAGAACTGAATTTCTCCCCTTCTCAGAAAGGAGGTTAAGAGTGGAAAATGAACGCAGCCCTTCTGCTCTGTGGGATTTCCCTCCTCTGTGCCTCTGGTTGCTTCTTGTTTTCTAGTTTCCCCAAGGACAAACATCCATGATCTTCTCTTTCTGCTTTCTCTTCTGTATGGGCAATAGATGTCTTTACCGTTGTCTGGCCGTTTTGCAGCCGTTCATTTAGCTACAGCCAAATTCCTCTGCCAGCCTTTTGGGTGGGCAGAGCTGTTGTGGCCACTGAGCATCTGCCCAGAGCTTGTTTGCAGCAGGGTTTTTGGTGAGAACTTCAGGAGGATTTAAACTAGTAAAATACCCTTTTTCTCATCCCATGTTGTACTTAAAGGCTTAAGAAGGCTTGTCATTCCTATGCTCTTGGTCTCGGCTTAATCTCTTTTAGCTGAGTTCTCTTAGTTCGAGGGCTCTGCCTCTTGAAATCCTCAGCCTCGACCTGCAGGCATGGTTGGAGCTCGGGGCTGGTCACTGTAAAGCAGTTGCAGCCAGCTCTGACATCAGGCAATATTCTGGATGACATGCCCCGGTATAGGACCTGCCTTTCTTGGCCCTGGAGGATGGATCCCATTTCGGGAACCCAACTCTGGTGTGAGCAAGTGCTTCCCTGCCCCCACGAAGAAAGAGCTGACAAGGAGATGGACCCAGCACAACGCTCCTGGGCTGAGGCTGCTGCATGCCCAGACTGCAATTTTTCATAATTTCTCTGCTTTGACACGAGGGCAGTGAAGCTATTAAGAAAGTTGTGTGACTCCAGCAAATCTGCCTGGAAGCCTGAGGGATGCAGGCAAGCTGGCAGCTCCCTTGGGAAGCTCTGTAGGGTTTAGGGCACAAACAGACACGGAGAGGCGGACGCTGAGCAAGCCTGATGTGGCGGCAGGGTTGGCATGGAGTAAGCAGCCAAAGGCAGAAGGGGAAGCTGCCAAGGGGAATAATTTATTCCAGAAGAAGTTAGGCACTTGAGAGGGAAGGCGCTTGCTGGGTACAAGCCCGAGAGAGCTCATGGTATTAAATGGACTGTGTGGCTTGCTTCCAGGTGGCTGGTGCGCTGTGCTCAGCTCAGGCCAGGGCAGAAACCCTGCTCAGAGCTCCAGGAGGTGAAATAAAGGATGCGTGGCTGAATGAACTTTTCAATAAATGAGAAAGTGTTCAGCTCTTGTTGCTGAGGGCACAGCTCGGTCACGGACCGCAGAATGCCCCTTTCAAAGCAGAATGGTGCTGGAGGGGAGGGAGGCGAAGCAGACTCCTGTTCTCAGCATGGGGCTGCCCCATGCCAGCGCTGAGCACCCCTTGGTGCGTGCCAGGAAGAGATCTGCAGGTGGAAAATATCCCTCTCTCTAGCCTGGGGCAAGCCTGCCAGCGGAAAACTTGGGTTCTGTGTGCGAAGTGAGGTCAAGAGGGGGTTCAAAACACCCTGGTTCCTCCCTGTGGCTTTTGGGCTGTTATTTCCCTGCTGGGAACCTGGTGCTGGAGTTAACTGAAAAGCACAAACCAACCCTGGTCCCCTGGCTCGCTCATTTACAGGTCAGTGATCCTGGGAACATGCTGAACATACCTCTTCACGTTCATTTATTTATTTCTAATTTTCACAGGGTGCTTTTCAGCACAGGACTCCCTTAAAAACTCTGCACTCCCAGTGCCTGTACCTTATAGAGGGACTCTGGGGGTCTACCCTGGGGGACAATGGTAGTATGTGAGGTGTTTGTAGGATGCAAACAAGGTTTGCTTGAAAACCTTGCAAGGTTTTCCACTGCTTTTTCTTGCCCAATTCTCCTCATAAATGGCCATTCTGTGTAAATCAGTTTGCAGATTTCATGTCCCCATTACGTGCAGGCAGGACATCTAGGTAATAAGCAGCTGCAGTGCCACTTCTGCAGGTATGAGCTGTGTCCTGAGCTGTGCTGTTGTCTTTCATTGCAGGTATGAGAAAATGATCAGTGGGATGTACCTGGGGGAAATAGTCCGCAATATTCTGATCGACTTCACCAAGCGGGGGTTCCTGTTCAGAGGCCAGATTTCAGAGACGTTGAAGACCAGGCATATCTTTGAAACCAAGTTCCTTTCACAGATCGAGAGGTAAGAGAGCACGGGAGGCTGTTCAGAGTGAAATATTGTGGTGTTGCTCACCTGGTGATGCTGCTGGAGGGGACTGACAACTGGAGAGGATGGATCAGAGCTCCGGAGATGATTTTGGTCTCCTTGAGAGCCTGTACCTGTGCAGGCTCTTTAAAACACCAGAAATCAGGCTGTTTCCTTGTGCCTGTTGTGAGTGCCTAGCTGTTGTTGTTGGACTGAATGAATGCTAGCTGAATGCGTACTTCTTTAGTGGATGTTTTTGTGTCTTTGTTGCTCAGACACTGTCTTAAAATCTGTTGAGTCTTTATGGGGGGGAAAAAAACAATAAAGTCCATCATTAAAAATAATTTCCTGAAATGCACTTGGTATGAAAAGAGAAAGGGAAGCAACCCAGAGCTGTGCTCAGAGCCCCTCTGGCTTGCTTGTGCTCTCCTCCTGCTCTGCCCGAATTTGGCAGCAGCACGGTGCTGAGTGCGTTTGCATTCTCTGGGGTCTCGTGTACCAGCAGCAAGGACGGCTGCGTGGCCTGGGAGTGTGGCTGCAGCTCTCGATGTGGTGGGGGTCATGCTGGTGGCTCAGCTGAGGAGGGCCTTGAACTGAACTCTGTGTTCCTCTGCTCCTGCAGCGACAGGTTAGCTTTGCTTCAGGTGCGAACCATCCTCCAGCAGCTGGGGCTCAACAGCACCTGCGACGACAGCATCATCGTCAAGACCGTGTGTGGAGCAGTGTCGAAGCGAGCAGCTCAGTTGTGCGGGGCTGGCATGGCTGCAGTTGTAGATAAAATTCGGGAGAACAGAGGATTAGAGCACCTGGAGATTACGGTTGGTGTGGACGGGACGCTGTACAAGCTACACCCACAGTGAGTGTTCACCTTTCTCCGTGGTTGTTTGCCCATGATCTGTAACGTGTTGCTGCATGTCCTTTTCCAGACTGATTTCTCTTACTTGTTAGGGTAAGAGCCAGGGAAAAGAGATCTTAATCAGGGCTGCTTGGGCTTTCTAAAAGCTAATCAGAGGATCATGAAGGATTCAGGGGGCTGTGCCAAACTAAAGGCAACACAGCTTGCTGGGCAAGTTGGGAGCCACACAGGAAGGGGAAAGATCTCTTGGCTGTGCAGACGCAGTGAGAGAGCAGTGCTCGAATGCCTGGTGCCTCTTGGGCAGATGTTTCTGTCCGATAGGCAGAGGAGGTGGGGCACTGTCTTGTCTTTTGCACTTTTCTGTGGCAGAAGGGATCCAGCTAACCCCACACGGAGAGCAAAGGGCTGGGATGAAAGTGGTTTGGCCCCTGCTCCCAGTCTTCATACCCACCGTAGTGTGTGTAGTGTAGTAACATGTTTCCAGCATTTTATTTCTCTCTGCTGTGAAAGGGGGAGCACTGCAAAGGCCCGTGGCACTGCTATGCTCTGTAGGTGCTGCAAGGCCTCCCTTGCCCACGGCCACTGTTTCCCTTCACAGCTTTTCGAGGATTATGCACCAAACAGTCAAAGACCTGGCACCCAAGTGCGACGTGACCTTCCTGCTTTCGGAAGACGGCAGTGGGAAAGGGGCAGCGCTCATCACGGCGGTGGGATGCAGGCTTCGTGATGCCGAGCAGAACTGAACTCCACAACCCCGGCCCTGATTCTGTCTTGTGAGCACTTTCTCATAAAGCAGCGACTGCGTAGTCTGAACTGGTAAATAAATAAATAAAACAGAACTCACTGCTTTATTGGGAAAAAAAAAATACAACTAATGACATAAAAAAGTATAGGATACAAGATAGAATGTGTGCTGTTAATACTATCTCCTGTTTATGGACCCCAATCTGCATGTTTCTTATTCACCTTGTTGGTACCTTCCCCATCTGTAGGTCATGGAAAAAATCAGTCTCTAATTTCTGCAGCTGTCAAAAATCAGTTGTTGTCTGAGATGAAATTGCCCCCAGTTGATGTGCGTTGAGAGCTGCTGTTGCATCGTACCAAGTGTGACCTTTGCAGCATCCCTGTTACGTGCACCGCCAGCACGCTGACCACCAAAGCTGGGTGTTGAAGCTTTTAGTGAAAGGGAAGCAGCGGTTCCCTCCTGCATACCTACCTGCTGTTGTTTCGTTTAAAGCAATCGTGGAAAAATCGCGGTGTGTCGGCACTGTGCACGCACATAACTCTGTAGTGGGACTTGACAATGTGACTTACTTGCTTCCTTGATGCCTGTTTTGTCATGGTAAAATTAAAGTAAACGCCCTTGTCCCACGGATCTGGATCCACTGGTATTTCCCACTGCTTTTGTGAATGGTGTTGTGTTACCGAGCAAAACCTGTAACGTTTGGGCAAGAAATCCCTAACGAGTAAAACACAGTGGTTGGTGATTGGGGTAATCCAAATCTCCAGACCTGGGAAATGGGTACATTTATGGTCCTTAGGCAGGCTGTACTGTATCTGTCTGTATAAGGGGTCGGAGCAAAATTATTTTTTCTCTTGTTATTGGTTTAGATCAGGGCGCTGCAGCTGCCCGTCTACAGGATCTGCAGCAAAACAGTGTCACCTGGATGTGCACACCTCCGTCTCTTGCCTTAAATGGGTGTTTGCTTCCACACAAAGCTTTAATCTTTAATACTGTTAAGCAGCCACTCGAAACACAAACACTCAGCTAGAGTTAATGATCAGGAAGGAATATGAGGGCTCGAGTTGGATCTCGACGTTGAGGAGCTGGGTGTGTAAACCAAACAAACCACACAGACAGAATCGGACCCAGCTTATCCCACGAACTAAAGCAGCAGCAGGGTTGGTATCGTGTACACGTGGTGTATTCCGCCCTCTGTCGAGCTGATGCCATTATTATACTTGTGTAGCAGTTGCATTACTTAAATCGAGAACCAGTTCGGAAGGCAAAAGGCAATTAACATTTGCAAGTCACGCCGCTTTCTGCAAAGAGGGAGACCCCACAGCAGTATTTAATTCCCGCTCTCCTACCAAAAATGAATTTGAGATCTCTGCATGGTTTTCCCTGCTCTCGTTCTTCTCCTGCAGAAAGTAGATGGAAATTTGCAGGCTACTCTTCTCTGTCCTCTTTCCACCCCCTAAGATTTGGATTGCCCTGCCTATGGATAACATTTCAATATGCATTATGGTGCACTGTGAGTGAATGTTGTAAAGTAACATGTGAGTCGCAAGCAGTCCTCGCAGCTTTACGTGTGTGTCTACCTGAAAAATTGCATGCCTAACTGGTTTTGCAAAGGTAGAGAGTCTTTTTACTTTGCACACTAGTAGCTCCGATACTAGTGTTACGTGATATCTGTGGAAATATTAAACTTTTTTTGATGTGCGTTAACTGGTGTGCGGTGGTTCTTTCTGGAAGAGATTCTCTCGGCTGCTGGCGCAGTGCTTTGGGCAGAGCTATTGTGCAGGGAGAGCTGGAACCTAATCCCACTGGTGCCCGGGTTTTGTGTGTGTGTGTTTTTATTCCCGGGCGTTCGGGGTCAGATTCAAAGGGGGTGGGTTTTGTTTGACACCAAACCTCGCCTTTCCTAACATGGCTCAGCAGAGGCGCGGAGCTCGCAGTGCCCAAACCTTGGGGTGTGTGGAGCTGGTCTGCGTGCCTCTCCTGCCCTGTTGTGCAGGGGAAACCGCAGTGCAGGGAGACTTCAGCCCACTGCACCAACACAAATGTGATTATGTTAGGCTTTGCCAGATATTTTGATGGCTGTGTTATGAGAGCTGTGCTCCTGCAGGAGCCTGGCACACAGCAGCCACGTGCACGAAGGGCTGGTGCTTGCAGAAGCACGGCCTCAGGTGCTGCTGGGCTGCACATCCTACGTTGGAGTTGTGTATGAAGGCCGCTTCTGCATACCCTACAGCTGGGATTCTCCCCTAGCCCATTTGATGTTACAGCTTGAGTAGTCTGACAGCCTCGATGTGCAGCTCTGACCCCAAACAGGAGGCAGAAGAAGCTGAGAAGGTTTACGGGTGCAGGGGATGCCTTTTAGTTGCTGAAGGTTTGCAAATCTTAGGGCTGCTGTAGGGGTGGTGTGAGTGGGGGACCTGAGTTTGGGGCTCCTCAGCACCTTAATCGTGCTATGATCTGTGGGCTAGGCTCGGTGCAGGACAGAGGATGAATGTGAAGTGCAAGTTAAACTTGGTCGTGGGGTGACTGTGGAGTGAGGAGATGCTGGCAGAGGTGGTGCTGTTTATTGGATCCAGCTCATAACAAACAGGGAGAGAGTTTGTGCTTCCAACAGCGTGGCGGTTCCTGCTGTGGCCCAAAGGTGATGTACTGGAGGAGAAAGAGCAGGACCTGGTGGGACTTCCATTTCCATCCTCCATTTCCATACTTCTTCTTATCCCTAGGAAACTTGCAAGTGAATCACAAGCTATAACTGTCCAGAGAAATGTCTTCAGTGTTAGCCAAGCAATGACTGAGATGTCTTACTTAAAGCTTTTAGGCTTGGTGAATAAAATCATGGTCTTCTTAATTGTTAAGCTGTAGAAATTACTTTGATATCAACACACAAATCTTACATTTCCTGGGGAAAAGGCCGTTTGCATACCACTGTTGTAATGTCAGCTGCTCCTTACTCCTCTGGGGGTTCTCTCAGAAGCCTTTTGAATAGGTTTAAAACAAGCAGCCCTTGTTTTGTTTTGTTTTCTTAAGAAAAATAATAGCAGAAGGCAAAATAAAGTGTCTCTGAACTTCTGAACCCTGCTCCGTGCTTTTTGTTTGTTCCTTTGCTATAACAATGAGATTCTTCAAATGTTTTTCCTTACAGTCTGCAGGGACTCCTTGGTACTTAGGGCACGAGTAGCTGTACAGAGGGGGGATTTATCGCTGACCTGGACATTTTATACTGCTGCGTGGCATTTAATCAAGTCTATATTTATATGGAGAATTGTGTGTGTTTACTCTGGAGCACGGTGTTCCTGTTACCTCGTATATCACAGGAAATAATGTTGTTGGCCACGGCATGCCCTCCTCTTTCCAACGAGGGCTTGGGGCGTCTCTGCTTCCTTACCCGTTGTTATTTCTAGCAGACAGACTTCTCAGGATCCCCAGGGTGAATCCTTCAGGGGATGTGGAGCTTCGTTTGCAGACAGGAGAAGTCGTCCTCTGCTTTCTGCACCAAGAATGAGAGAGATGCCATGAGCAGGAAACGTCGGCGCTTGTCAGGGGCTGCACGGGGGAATGTAAGCTGGGATGCTGGAGATGGACCTGCTTGGTCCCAAAAGATCTGCACTGGAAAGCTGCTGGAGAAGGGCTTTAACGCCTCACCATCCCCTCAGCTGCACATGGGAGAGATACAGCCTGTGTATGTAACACAGCAAAATTGTCGTGCAGGTGTTCTTCACTTCCTTGGAGCATGAGTCCCAGCGGCGTGTGCCTCGCCGAGCACCTCTCCAAAGTGTTTTGAATCCCTGTAGGAGAAGACTTGGTGGTGGCTGGCTGCCACTGCCTGTTCCTTCTTGTTCTCCCTCTGCCCTGGTGCACCCCTGCGGTGTGCTCTCAGGAGGAGCAGGCTGGGTAGATAACATCGAGGCTAGAAGCTGCCTGCTGGAACAATTTAAAATGATGAACATTTTAAGAAAGGCGCACAGCCCTGTGCCATCTGCCACGGCCTATTAGTGAGATAAGTTTGCTGGGTCTCTCTGTACCATAATTGCTCCCCACAGCAGCCAGCGAGGTGGAGGAGATTAAGTGCAGAAGAAAGATGTGTCTGCTGGTTTCTGTGCTGAAATGGACTTGGGAAAATCATTTCCCTGAGCACTTTTTCTGATCAAGCAACAAAGCTTTGTGCTGAATTTACTGCAGAAGTCAAGCCTGGCAACGCTTTGTGGCTTTTGTTCTCCTAGAGCAAAGGGGAATATTTGGAATAACTGGGACTTGGTGGTGTTGTAGGAGCCTCCTGTATGCCAAGGTATGTCTCTGGGGTGTTATGTGCCAACCTGTCACTAAAGGTGAAGGTGATTGCAAGGTGCTACTTATCACACCAGCATTAAATACTGCATGGCATTAAGTATCGTGCTTGTGTTTCAGCTTGTCCTGTTCTGCGTGTCTGCACATAACGCCTCAGGCTTCGAAGATGACAAATTTCAGCCTTTATTTTAGTATCTGAGAAGAGAAGAACAGTGATGACAAGATGGGGTAAGTCTGGAAAGGGGAACGAAGGGACTGGCTGTGGTGGGACCATGGTGGGGTTGCCGGGGTCGGGGTACAGGCAGCTTTGGAAGCGCAGAGCTCCGGGATGCCACCAGCTGTGCACCACCCCAGCATGTCACACCCGGGCGGCCCTCTGCTCCTGTAAGCAAGCAGTCGTGCTGCAAACATGACTGCTCAGCTAGGGAGCTGAGGAGCGATGCTCAGCAGCTATTTTTGAGCACCTTCCCCAGTGACGGGAGCTTGCAGCCCCTCTGACCAAGCCTGCCTGTGGCTCTCCAGAGAGCCTCGCTCCTCGGGTGAGGAACTATGTGCAGGTGGAGGAATCGCTCAAGCACGCTTCAACAGGAAAAATACATTGTGTTTTGGTACAAGCTTGCAGAAATCCATGAAAAAATGACTGTAGGGAGCTGTTTCCCACTTTAAATGATGAGAGGTGGTGCAGGTGAAATCACAGGCCTGAAAATCCCAGGATCCAGGAAAGCTTCAGGGCAGGCTTTTCAGCACGGGTGCCTTTGTTGTAAAGGAGCTCAGCTCCACAGCCTCGTCCACCTCCAGGCTGCTGAGCCACAGGAATTAGCTGCCCACACACCCCAAGGGTCCGCCCAGACTGGGCCAGAGGAGCCCCAGCCTTTCTGTTCCTTCAGCTCTTTTCCAGATGGAGCTGTCTTGTGGAACAGAGAACAGGAGCTCACCATCAGGAAGGCAATAATTGGTAGGATGCTGCCTGAGGTCTGTTTTGCTTCTGTTTTGACGTGATGGGCAAAACCTTGTCTTTTCTGTATTGCAGCGTGGGTTTAAAGGCAGGCTGTATCCAGAGCTGGGTGATGTTCGGACCCACGTGGATGTAAGTCTTGTTTTATTGTCAGAGTGCTTTTGGTGCTGATGGCACCTGTAAAAGCCCCCTAGGAAACAGACCTGCCTCAGGACATCTACAAACCTGCTGCCTTTAAATGGTGTCTTAGGATATGCCCCATCCCTGGAAGCGTTCAAGGCCAGGCTGGGTGGGGCTTTGAGCAGCCTGGGCTGGTGAGAGGTGTCCCTGCCCGTGGCAGGGGGTTGAAGTTAAATGTTCTTTAAGGTCCTTTCTGACCCAAACCGTTCTGTGATTTTAGTAGGGTCAGAACCAGAAGAAGAAATCAAAGCGTTTGCTGGGTGGGGGTAAATGATGTCTTCTCTTCCTCATTGAAGTGAGTTTCTGTGTTGAAACTTGATTTCTGTGACTTCCTGCGGGTTGACTGGTAAAGGGATGGGGATGTAAGTCGCAGCTTGTCTTTCTCAGTTGCTTTTATGCACGGACACCACCGGAAGGCTACCTTGAAGCCTGAACGAAACCTGTAAGCATAAGAAAAGAAATCAAATGGCAGATCTTTTTTTAACTGCGCAGAGAAAGAGCAAGTGTGTAATTCTACCTCGAAATGACCATGGAGATGAAAGGTTTCAATTGAAATTGAAGCAGGAAATGGCACTGGGGAGCCCGAGGCTGGGCTTGCTTCACCAGCATCCTGAGAGCAGCCCGTTCTCAGGGCAGAGCAAGGGAGACATCTCTTGGCACGGCAGGGTTGTGCTCGCACAGACACTCGCTCGTGGCCACGTGCTGATCACACGCCTGCTGTCTGCACTTTCTTTGGAGGCAGAAAATCTTACGGTTTTGTTGTTAGTAGCATATAAATTCACTTCTCTGTCTGCTGGGCACAGCTGAGAATCACAGTGGCTTTGACCTCCAGAGGTTTCTGCCTTTACAGACTGAGATCTGCGTGCACGCTACTCACCTCTGGTTAAGACAACAGTATATGATGGGGTTGTACATTGTTGAACTCATGGCAAGCAGAAAGATCGCCAGGTACACCTGCTGAATGTACTTCTGCTGGTAGATGTCCTCCTTGAAGCTCCCCAGGATGAAGTATATGTGATAGGGCAGCCAGCAGACGGCAAAGATGATCACAACTACCACCATGGTCTTCACAAACTGGAAGAAACACACCGTGTGTTATTCCTGGGCCTCTGTAGGGTTGTCTGGGCTGGCTGGGGAAATGGGAGATGCCGCTGTTGTTTTGGGTCTGTTTTGCCCTCCTGAAGCGCTGTGTGTGGTACGTAGAGCTGGGCTGCTTGGGCAAACGAACTCCTGGTGATGGAAATGAGGAACAAGGAGGGAGTGAGAGCAAATGTTTTGCCATGCGCTTCCTGCAGAGGAGCCATCAGGGAGATTTGGTAGGGAAATGGGAGAACTGCAGTTACCCTGAAACCTCTCCACCCCATCCAGAGTTTATCCCTGTAGTGTGTGGCTTCACTGGGCACTGCTTTACTCTCTAAGGACTGCCGGGCAGCCTGGCCCACTGACGTGAGCCTTTCTTCCTTGGAACCTGGCTGGTGCGTGTGAATCACCATTTTTTCATGCTTGTTGTCTTTACCCTTTACCCCCCAGCCCAAAATAATTCGTCAACCTTTCGTGCCCAGTCCCACAAGATCTTGCATGACGTGCAAGCTCTGTGTTGGAGCTGGGGGCAGAAGAGCTGGTGTGTTTAGGGTAATTATTTTTAAGTTTCACCTCTGACCTTTTTCTTGGCATTGACTTGGTGTTCGTAGAGGGCTCTATTAATGTGGTTGCCTGGAACCGCGCTGCTCCACAGAGTAATTCCTATGATGCTGTACGCAACAAACATCACCATTAAAGGCAGTAAGTAAATCAACACGATCACTGCGATGTGGTATCTGAAACAGAAAAGCAGGCACATTTGCATCGTCAGTACATCCTTTGAAGGGATCTGGCAGAAATTGGCTCCCATTAACTTCAAGCCCAAAGCATAAAGCAGCAGAAATTTTGCCTGCAAACATCATTAGAGAGGGGCTTCTGTAAACAGCAAAGGCTCGTCTCATCTCTCCCGTGTTGTGATGATTAGTCCTTGGACTGGATTCATTGCTCTTTCACGACAGTGTAATGCTATTTATCTTTTATCAGAGGGTTACAGTCCACAGCCACCTGAACTTTGCTATCCTGCTGCACTCAGGGAAGAGACTTGTAAGGCTTTTGGCTCTAAAAATATGAACCTTTAGATTGTATTTCCGAAAGGAATATTTCAAAAAACTACTTGATGAATTCAGTGGTGTCAAAATCTTAAGTCAGCAATGATCAGGGATTTGCAAATGTAGTTGGCTGCTAGCAGAGTGCATGAACTCAGCAGGGCAGGTAGGGAGGAAGGAGCATTGCTGCTTTATAGCACGTGCACGGTGAGTGACAGCCATTATTGTGTTTCTGTTGCTGGCTGGTTTTATTTGTGAGCACATGCACAATTAAATCTTTTGTCACCACCAGGCTGCTTGGTTTCTGCTCCAGATGAAAGCGCTGCCATCTCCCTTGGCTGTACGTGAGCTTGAGCTGTGATACCCCATGAGCTTCTGCTGGTTCCCCCGTGCTTGGGTTTGATTTTTTTAAGCAACCACCATTTATGGGGAGGGAACAACCTGCACACTCCATTACAGCAGCTGTCCCATTAACATAAACAGTGTGAAAAACTGGGATTAGGCAGGAGGGCTCTGGCACACGCTGCTGGCAGAGGCCACAAAAGTCTGGGTGCGTGTTTTTTCTCAGTGGGACAACACCGTGTGGGTACTCGGATACTCATCGCATTAGCAACCGGGCTCGGCTGTATTGCAGAGCACTGTAGGAGTCAGCACTGGGGCTCTCCACATGGGACCCCCCTTCTGCAACATTAAACCCCACCGACAGACACTGAAAGGGGAGCGGGGATGGTTTGGAGTCAGGAAATAGCAACACAAAGCTGTGCTGGGAGGGGGAATCCACCCTGTGGTGTGGGGGGCTGCATTTCATTGCCAGCCATTGCCCTGGAAAAGGCACTTAATAAAGTAAATAAGTATAGAAAAATACTCTGTTTGTCAGCTGTGGGGTGTTTGTTGTCAGCCTGCTCTCCACCTCTCTTAATGCTTCTTTTCCTTAGGATTGGGACTGTCACGAGAGTGGCTGCATGTGGCTTTTTCTCCCTGCTCCGTATTGCAGGCGTTCATCCCGACAGAGCCATCAGTCACGATGATTTCTGGAGATCACTGCTTCCAACCTCCTTGCTAGGAAAGCTACCGAAACCCGCAAATCTGAGGCTGTTCAGGGGGTGAGCTGGTGAATGTGCTGGGATTTATTCTGCTCAGGAGCTGCTGCTCTTCAGCTGAGGATCCCAGAAGGAATCTGCCCTGTTATTTGCCATGGTCGGGACCAACTTTTCTGGGCCCACAGAGATAACAGGCAGAGATTTCATTGGTAATCTGCCAAAGCTTTGCTTCAATTCCTCCCAAAGAATGGCAGTGGGAGAAATAAACCTGATGCTTTTCACCTGAATGAAATAGCACGCACCTTTGCAGGTGAGGGGTTAGGTAGCTTTCTCCAGCTTGACTCATAAAAGCAGGTAGGTCTGTTTCGGCCCCAAATGCTGACACAATCTTTTATTTTCACTTTCAGGTGAGAACAGAGCCTTTACCAAAAGGCTGCTTGGTTTTAATTGGTGATTTCCTACTACCCCTACTTCTCGGTTGATGGGAACCTGGTGTACTTTGTTCCCAAGCACGTAGGACGGGGGTAGCACCAAGGAGCCCTTGGAGGTATGTGACCCAGCAGGGCTGGGATGTGAACCTGTTTTTACTCTTTGCTGTTTTTTGGGACTGGGAAAAACTGACAGCCAAGGGCTGAATGTGCCGTGGATCAGCCAAGTTTACATGGAGTTCCTGGAACTTGGCACTTATTAGTGTGAAAACCTGTTAGTTGGGCAATAACTAACTGTAGGAGGCGCCCAGCTGTCTGCCAGAGGTGCTGAAGGGAAAAGCATCCGTGGTGCATGTAGCTGGGGAAAGGCACTCACAGCGAAGGATGGATGCGGGGAGATTAGCACTCGGTTTTGGTTTGAGGAATTGTTTCCATTTTGTTAATCAATTTGTTCCTTTTCCTCAGTTCTTCCATTACTGCTTTGTAGAAATGTTTTGCCTGATAGATTTCTCAAGCTGCTCTGTATATCATGTACTTTGAATCATGATTAATCACAGCAGATCCCCCAAATGCAGGGTATGGCTTGTTTCATCTGTCTGAACAATCTTGCTGTAAAGCAGGAGGAAATTGCTATGAGGGCTAGGAGCTCTCGGGAGTGCAGATGTGTGTCTAGATAAGTAGATCTTTAAAACCTTAAGATGTCTGAAACACGCTCTTCTCTTTTTTTTTTTTTTTTTTTTTTCACAGACAGCAGCATGATTTTTAGCTAATTATGTGGCTTCTCGGCATTAAAAATCCCCAGCTCCCTTCTGCCTGATGGAGGGGGAGAATCCAAAATCTTTAAAAACTGGAATTTATTGCTTGTTTAAAGACTTTATGCTCTAGTTTCTCTTAAATCCACCAAGCCCTGTATCTAGGCTTTCTAGATCTTATAGCCAACTTTCAAAGCAGAGGAGGATGGAGTATCACCCTTCTTCACCCTGAGCATGACAACGTGGTTGCTTTTTCCACAGCTGCCTTAAACCAAGCTTAGATGTGCTGCCCCAAACCCATATTCCCCAGCTGCGTGGTTCCCCTAACAATCCCCCCCTCCCTCAGCCCTCTCTCCCAGTGCTGTCTGTAGCCAACAGTTTGGTCACGACATTCATTTTGTAGCTAACTTTGGCAGGAATCGTGAGTTTTCTTGTTTCTCTTACGTGAGCTGGTGCTTCGATCCCACGTCATCTGGCCAGACGACGATGCACTTCGTCGTTCCGTTGTCTGTCAAGATCTCGGCATAGAAGCACTGCGGGAAGGCGAGCCCAAATGCCACCAGCCAAATTATTCCTATGATGACTCGGGTGTTTCCAGCAGAAAGCCTGGGCTTGAAGGGATGGATTATAGCCACATACCTGCAAGAAAAATGGGTGATGCTTTTATGGTTCCATTGGTAAACCGTACAACAAATGCAGCAGGTGTAAAAACTCCCCAGCTGATACGGTGGGATTTATTTGTAGAGCCATTCTGTCAGGTTCCAGGAGCTAACCCCCTTCTGAAGAGAAAAACTTCAAGTCTTAAGGTAGGATGGATTGATCCCATCTGGATGGATACAGCTGGTGCAAGGAGGAAGCAAGCATTTATACTGTCTGCATATGGGCCTTCGCAAGTATTTCTCTTTGATAATTTTTTTAAATTACTTTTTAAAATGCTTCGTACATTTGGTCTGAAATTTGGTGCTGTGAACTCTGTTAGTTTGGAGATATGCACTGTTTAACACCATGCCCGTCTTCCTTCCTCAGGAAAATGACCTAAACGTGCTGGTCCCATTAATTATCTCGATCTTGTTTTACACCCCATGTGATGACAACAGCAGATTGAAGCCTTGAATTTCTTTTTCTCTGGAATTTTTCCCCCTGATTTTTAGCAGTGGAAAAGCCCTGTGCCATCCACCTCTGCCTGTAAATGCCAGAGCACTTGTGCTTGTGATTTAAGGGAAAGGCTGACTCTTTCTTCCCACACCTGCTCAGAGCCCTCACGGCACATCTGACTATTAGATTATTTGCAAGCCCAGGGCGCTGTCTGGTTTTAAGTTCCCTCTGTAGGAAGGCAGGGTATCGTAACAAGCCCTTAATCAATTATGCATTTCTTGTCATGCTTTCCCTTCTCCTTGTCATGGTTGTTTACAAAGGCAAAACAGAGTGGAAAATGCCAATTGCCTCCTGGTTTTTACAGCGAAAATGTGACAAATTCTGTGCTGTCTCCTGGCCAAGCCGTTTGGAGAGAGCTCTGCTCAGGCACTGCTGCAGGACAGAGGGCGACTGCACGGACAGGCAGCACAGTAAGCCAGAGCTGCACGGCAGCAGAGCCTTATTTAGCTATGAAATGTTCGTGTCACCTCGCTTTCCTTAGCTCATCCTCACTATACAGTGCTCAAAACTGCTCAGGGAAGGATCAAGCAGCAAACGTTCTCCTGAATATTTGCCCAGGGAAGTGCCCAAACCCGTGCCCTGCAGCTTTTGGTGACCAACAAGCCCCAGGTATAAACGCTGCCACTGGTGAGATCTGCTGAGGTCTCCTCGTTTCTCTGGCTGTGCAGAAAAGCTCCATTTCCCCCTGCTTTCTGCCCCCTCCAAGCGACACCCCAAGATGCTGGCACCCTTTCTCTGGTCCTTGTCCCGCGTGGACGAAATACGCTGAGCTCCTACCACTCTTGCAAAGAAGGCCTAGGAGATTTTGTTATCTGGAGTGTGAAACTTGAGCTGATAATACCTCTCTGCCTGGAGTGCTGCGTGCAGTGGAAACAGCTGCTCCAGCACACAGCAGCCCCAAATGGGGCAGCAGAGTAGTCCTAAAGGCGATGATGAGCGGTTGTGACAGAGCCTTGTCCACAGCAAAGATGCCCAATAGATCGATCGCCTCTTGTCCTGCCTTACCATAAACAGGTTCAAAAGATGTTTTATTAAACTTAAACAACCGAGCCGAAGAGGACACAAGTTCTCATAACAACAAGTGGAAGCTGCAATTTTCCAGGAGACAGCGTCAGGATCTATTTTAAGGTTAAGCGAGAATAGCTAAATATGGTTCGCAGGGAGATGCCAAGTTTTCTTTCTGATCCTTGTCACGCGACAAAAGAGATTTTGGCTTTATAGAAACTTTTGCCAAGTGTCCCCAAGGAAAATGGGAGCTGGGAGACATGGGGACAGGCTGAAAAGGATTATTATTTTTTTTAATATTCTTTGGCAGACCACACGTATAAAACAGCTGTTATCAACAACCCGTGATTAAAAGCCAGGAACAGCAAAAGAGTATTCGAGTCTCAAACTGAGACTGGAGATCTGCTTTCATCTGGACACCTGCGGGGTGACCAGCACACGGCTCATCTCCCCGGGCTCGTTAGCGATCCTCCCGGTGCCTCCAGGAGCCCCTGCCCTGCTCTTTGGAAATGGCACGGCCATGTCCCGGCTTCAGGTGCAAGTTTCAGTGGGCGTTGCAGGGCAAAGCTTTCTTATGCCAGCTGGGTTTGTTTATCTCATGGGATTTATCTATCGCTTGCTTCCTCGGCTGGGCGTGCCAGGGCGAACCAAGCCGCCCGCAGGGACGGGCGGTGCAGAAGTGACCCCGATGACTCAGGGAGCAAGGTCTGCAGGTGGTTCTGGAGGGATGTTGGCTGGGGGAGCTGGGAGAGCCCCGTGCCGATACGCACGCTTGATAAGAAGCAGAGGAAGGCTGAAGGAAACTGCAAAGCCAACGCGAGGGCTTCACTTCTGGCTGACCAGGGGAAGACCTTTGCCATGGGGTTGCAGCAGGGGCATAGGATGGAAAAGACACAGATGTTCCTCCCCAGGGTTGGGCAAACAGAGGAAGAAATGGAAGGAAGGCAGGCAGAGAGTCTCAAAGGGAGCACAATCTCCCTTATTTCTTTCACGTCACTGCCCATAAGGCAGGAAATTCCCATGGGCTTTTGACCGCTTTCTAGTAAAAAGCAAAACATCGTGCTGCTCAACAACAAGGTGTAAGCACATCCGGAGCGCCCAAATTTAAGCTCAAGTAAAAGAGACTCGGTGGATGCAAGAGAGTATTACGGAAATACCAAATTACCTCAGAAGTCAAAGCCTCTGTAATTACTTTCCTCCCTCTTGGAACTGGTCACTCTTGTGACCTGGTGAAAGCCACTGCCATTTCTGATCCACTTCCCGGTATTTCTGGTGGTTTGCCACTGCACTGGACTCGCAAGCGGGGTTGTGGGTTACAATGCTCTCAGCATCCCACAACACGTTCATATTGCTCCAGCTCCATCCCAATGATGGGGCCTGCTCGTGGTTTAAAGAAAAAAGAGCTTGCGTGATGATGGGCAAACATTTTACGACCAGGGACATGGGAACAATAAAATTTCAGCTACTTCTACTTGTTACAGACTCAGGAATGGCTCAGGCTGGAGATAAGAGAGGAGAGCCCAACTTTCTTCCCGTTACTAGTGTGTAACCCCATAGCCTATTTGTCTAGCTCTCTCCCCACTTTGCTGATAAGGCACCTGACAGGGTAGGCGGGGGCCAATTGCACAAAGCATTGCGATAACGTTTTCTACCTTAGAGCAGACTTCTCAGCTCTGTATCTTCCCCAATCGCCTCTTACCTCTCGGCGGCCACGGCTGTCATGGAGTAAATGCTCACAAACATCGCGGTGATGGGGAACCAGTTCTGAAACCTGCAGAACTCCTTGCCAAAATACCAGACGTTGTGGCTGGCATAAATGAAATTGAAGATGGTGTTGAAAGCGGCCATCAGCAAATCCGAAAGAGCCAAGTTCACGATAAAGTAATTGGTGGCAGTCCTCATCCTCCGGTGCGCGAGGATGATCCAGATGACGGTGATGTTGCCGACGATGGAGGTGATGACGATGAAGGAGTAGGTGATAGCCCACAGGGCGATCTGCCAGCCCGGCTGGGTGAACTGGGTGACGGCCGTCTGGTTGTCGCCCTCCTCGAGGGAGTCTGCCTGCAAAATGTCGCTCGCGTTTGAAACGGGAAATGTGCTCATGGTTTTTCTTCGGCTAAGCAGAGAATAAAATCAGTCTGCTCATTTTCCTGCGGTAAGTGCTGGTGTTACGAATCCCCATGCGCATGGCTTAAGTGCTGTTAAAAAGGCCCCGGGATGCGATGTCTCGTGTCCTCTCCTCCTGTTTTCCAAGTGAGGCGATGCAGTTCCAGGAGGAAGTGATTGATGGCCAGGGCCTCCAACTTGCCTGGCATTTTAACCTGTGCCTGAAGAACAAACCCAAGAGATTAACTCTTCCCACTAGAGGTCCTTTTTCCTTTAAAAAAGACCAAAAAAAAAAAAAAAAGGAAGGGGGGTGTTTTCCAGGTCAGTGACAGGCAATCTCTTCCTTTACCTTATTTTTAGGGCCAAGAAAATACAATAGAAGTATCAAGCCATTAGTAACTTGGATCCAAGGGAAATCCCTTTTCGAGGCAGTGGTTTTCCACGGCGTCAGGTATCCGACCCCTCTGCAGTGGCACCGAAGCGGGAGCTGTTCTGGGATGGGTTTGCTCCGGGGTTTAAGGGCACTTTGAAAGGAGGTGGAGTCTCTTGCAGGCAAAAGCTAAACAACCAATTCGACATCGAATGAAACGCAGCAAAGTGGTGCTTAAAACTCGTTTCCTCCCTCTGTTTATTTGGAAGTCATCTCTGAAATGGACGTGCTGCTGTATCAGCGTTTGTAGGCTTAAATGCAAAGGTAGCTGCTGCGCTGGGCTTGCCAGTCCTGCCGTCCTTGGGTTTCCAGGACCCCTCCTGGCTTCATGGGAGTCCTTGTAGCAAAAAAGGAACAAACTACATTCAGTGAGATTTGAGCAAAGGGCTCCTGCTCTCTGCAGCTCTGTGTAGGCTTATCGGTGTTTTTGATATGTTTCATTTAATGGGGACCTTCCACTATAATGCGACTCAGCCAGCCCTATTTAATAGACTTGGTATGGTTTGATTTATGTCAATCAGAGCAGCACGTCCTGCTGGTGCCTGAAGGATCACCAGTGAATATTGCCTGGAGAGAGGCTTTTGGTACAGTAAACCTGAGCAGTGACTTGTAATAAGGCTTCAGAGGGAAGCTGGCGCCCAGGATCTCATCTGGAGCTCCAGAAAGCCACCTTCAGCTGCTGTCCAGCACAAAGGGACCTCAGCTCCCAGCCCTGTGATGCTGAGGGGCTGAGTGAGGGATGCAGAAACCAAGGCTCAATTCTCCCTGGGATCCCTGCACCCCTTTTCCCAACGTGTGGTGCAGAAAAATATACGTGAGGAGCCCACGTCTGGTGTACCTGCAAGGGGAGCCCCCGGCCCCACCTCTGCTGGGAGCACAGCTCTCCTGCTCGCTGGCAGCTTTGGAGCAAGCTACGTAAACAGATGCAACACGTCAAGGCTGAGATTTTAAAGAGCACTTGGCACTGGCTCATGCATGCTCTGCTAGAAGCTAAAAGCATTTCAGGTATTAAGACCTGCTTTCAGGATTCAACTCACTCCCTTACCCAGAAACTGCAAAAATGCACAAAATGTCTCTTCCTGTGCGTGGCCAAGCTGTCCCAGGCCCTTCCCCTGACACCTTGTTAAACAGCTTACGAGCCTTTCGCTTTCTGTGTACAGTGCAGAAAGGCTTTTCATCTGTTTTGCAATGTGAGTTCAGTAGCTAATTGTGTTCACATTTTTTTTTTTAATTTAGCTCACTCAAATCTCTTCCAGTTTCACAGAGGCAAAAGCCTCCATGTGTCTAGCTGAGAGGGTGGCTAAAGTAATTCATCAGCCTTTGTTACAGGAAGCACAATATTAGCAAGCATTCCCCACAAAAATTACTGATGTTTCGAAGGTGAAACCAAAATCCCCGTGGGCTGACCGTGAAACTGAAGGTGCTCAGGGCGCCTGCACTTCCTTGGAGCCACCCTGGCCTTTTTCTGAACTCTATATCTGATCTGTTACTTGGGTGTTCGTTTGAGAGCAGCCACCCTTGGGTCAACATTTCATCATACCACTTGCTGGGGACTCGCTTTCACTTCCACACACCCACACCTTGTATTTGGTTGCCGGTTGTGCATCGATGAGGTTATTGTCCTGGAGCCTGGCCAGCTGTGAAGTGTGGGCTGTTGGCCTCTTGACTTACACACTCCAGCAATTTTTACAAAGGCAGAATCCAAATTCTTCAGGAAAGTCACTCTTGCCTGTGACCGCAAGCAAAATCTGCTTCTGTAATGGTTTTTGGAGATAGACCAGGGAAAGGGCCTATCTGAAGGCATGCTGTGGGGTTTGGCTGGCTTTATTGTTGTTTTTACCATGGGCAAGATAGCTGGGGGCCAAACCTTGCTGTGCTGAGTCACCGGTGCCAGCTCCAGGCAGCGGGCGAGAGATGCAAACAGAAGATGTGGGTCTGGAAGGTCAATGAAGGGTGAAAAAGGTACATTTGATCTGGTGGAAAAATACAAAATAAGAGGTGGTAGGGGCTTTAATCATACTGCACGTTGGACTCAGCTTTGGGAGGAAGGACCTTTGTCCAGGGAACAGCTCTGAGACCAGGAGGTGAGGACCGCAGGACGGAGCTGGACAGCAGCTGTAGCGGCCAGACGTGAGCTGGAAGAAAGCAGCAGAAAGGCTGCTGGCAGCCCTGAAATGCTCGGGGTCCTCCTGCCACTCCCTGGCAGGGGGCTCGCTGTGCTTCACGTACCTTTCCTGCCGATCCCCAGTGTCCTGGGTCAAGCTCTCTGCAGGCCATCGCTTTCTGACGTCCTGTGGGACCTACCGTGCCTTGGGTGTGCTTGCAATGGCTCGCTGGCCTTGAAGGAGAGGGAGAAGAAGTGGAAGTTACTGGGATGTAGACGAAAGAGGATTATTCAGCTGTTTCCATACGCCTTCATAACAGAAACCTGCTTTGGCATATTGGCTCAGCCCGGAGTGAAAACAACGGGAGAATGGGTGTTCCTGTCAAACGGCTTCCCCAGCCAGCCCCTCGTGCTCTGAAACTTTATTTGCAGAAACCGGAGCATGAAGGGCAAGGCAAGGCGGCAGGAAAGCCAAACGACAGCTACTGACCGAGTTAAACCAGGGCAGTGTGTAAGTGGCAGGGCTGTATTCGGGTGGGTGCGATGCCCACGAGACACGAGGGACGGGTGCTCAATGATTTACGAGGTGACACTACACGCGGTGACATTCCTGACCGCGTACAGCTGGTGGGTGTCAGGGACATCTGCAGCTTTGTGCAAAGGCTGAAGTTGGTGATGTTTTAGAAGATAAATACTCAAAAGTATTGTGTTCTGTGGGGGCACCCCCAACCGCAGCGTCGCTCCGCAGCTTTCCCGCATCCCCTGCCTGCCAGCCGGCGGTGAGGGGCTGCTGATGGTGGTTTGTTCCAGATGTTAACAACAGACGGGTGTGTTCTCACTGCCCCCAAGCAAACCTGACCCACACGCAGCCCTGGCGGCTCCCCAAGCCCCGGCGGTGGCAAACGGAGCGTGAACGCTGACGGCAGCGAGCCGGAGCCATCGCTGGACGTCCCCACGGCCGTGTTGTTGTCTGAAGAGCCCTGCTGGGGGGGGAAGCAGAGGGAACCCAGCCGGAGAGCGCTCTGGGGACGCCTCCTTGTGCTCGCTACGCTTTTATTTTCTCCTTTGCCCTTGGAGGTTGACGAAGCCCGTCCCACGAACACGCTCCCCACGTCCCCGGGGGCGGAAGAGGCAGCAGCGGGGCCGCTCCCTGCCAGGCTGGGGAGGGAAGGGAAGGGAAAAAAGGAAGAGGGAAGGGAAGGGCAGGGCGGCAGCGACAGGTGCTGCGAGGATGGCGACGGGGGACGCGGAGCAAGCGCGCTACTGCCAGCGGCTGTCCTACCTCTGCCTCAAGTTCACCCTCATCGCCTACTCCACCGCCTTCTGGGTGAGCCGGGGGTGCCGGGGTGTCAGGCGTGTTGCTGCTGCTGCTTCCCCGCGTGAGATGGAGGAGTAAAGCCTCTGCCCTCATCTGGCGGCGTAAAGGGGCGATTTCTCCCCCGAGCTTTGGGGGAAGCCGTGCTGCGACGCTCATGCAGGTTGTCAGGTGAAGCCCGCGCGTTTTCTCTCAAAGGGTGCTTTTTGGGGCTGCGGGCTGTGGCGGTGCACCAGGCGCTCCGGCAGGTTTCTTTTTGTCTCCGCCTTGGAGGTTAAAGGCGTGGGAGGGTGGTTTCGGATTCACCGGGTGCCTCTTTAAGGTTGCGAGCTGAGGAATGAATGAAAATCCAAAAGCCAAGTGCTTTGGGTGTAGCTCGGCTCCTGGGGGATCCCGGATGCCTTCTGGTGGTTTTGTCTCTGATAACAAGCAAGCAAACAAAAGGAGCCCCCTTATTTTCGACTCTGGAGGCTTCCTGCATTACTCGGTTATTGTGTGGGTGCGATTTTGGGGAAGGAAGGCAGGTTTGTTGTGCTGGTTTCACACCCGGTTTTGCAGGCTCCCCGAGAAGGAAGGTGCGCGCTGCCTGCTCCGTGCCTCCCTTTGGCCCCCGGTCTGCAAAAATCCCTCTGCCAGCACAAAAAGGACACCGCTGTCACGTTTCGCCGAGCGGCTGCCTGGAACAAAGCCCCTTTCAGCAGCGTGAGGGTTTCATTTACTGCTCGTGGTTGTTTGCTCCGGATTTTCTACGCCCGGGTCCCTGTTTGCAGCCGAATGCTTCCGTTTCCCCGGCACGGCGGCTGCTGGCGTTCCCTAAAATCCCAGGGGTCTGAAGCAGGTCAGTGTGACAGCGTCAGACGGCTGATTTTGGTACGGGCCTGTCGCTGCCCTGCCCGCTGGTGTCACCTGGGTGCCTGCCGGTGCCACCCGGAGCCTGTTGATAACATGGGTGTCACCCCAGTGCTCTCCCAGCACAGGGCGGGAGCCCAGTCTTTGCCAGCAGCATCCAGCCTTTTACACAGAGGGTGCTCTTGCTGTATGGGCAGGTGAGCTCATGCTGTAAACACGGGGTTAAAAGCAGCAGCTAGGAAATCAAAGCTTTTCTTTCCTCTTGGGAAAGCAACTTCCGCACCTGGGAAAGCCCCTGGTGTTTGCAGGGGGCTGGATGCTCGCTGGCTGTGAGTCAAGGCCGGTCGATTTTTCCTGTGGACGCAGCCTGAGCTGTGGGATTCAGAGCTGTTGGGAAGGATGCAGGATGTAAACAGGCGGTGTGTTTGTGGCCACTGACGTAAAAGTTGTGTTTCCACCTCTGGGCACTGGAAGGGAGAGCGCTCCTGGCGAGGCGGCGCCCGCGGGGTGAAATTCCCACTGAGTCAGCACAGCGGCGTGGAAAGGGTGGAAAGGTTTTCATTTCATACTTTAAAAGCCACAACATCATAAAAGCATAAATTGTGGGGAATGAGGATTTTAATAGTGCAATTAGGTGTTTTTTCCCCCCAGTAACGGTTTTTAGCTGTCTCGTACCCATCAGCTGGTGCTTTTACACAGAGGTAACAGCAACGCTGACGAATGCAGCTCGAAGCCTTCCTGCTCTCTGCAGCTCACGGTTTGCAGAACTTATTTCAGAATCACTCGAGGCAGCTGTATCACACCGAGTTTTTGGGTTCCTCTCCTGGTGAAGCGACCGACATCTGCACGCCGAGCAGCCCTGCAGAGCTTGGTGGGGAGCAGAGGAGCGATGGGAGGCCCCTGTTAGCCCTCGAGGCTCGTGAGATACCTTTAATCCTGTGATTTTTCTAGGGTCTGACATTGTCCACCTCGAGCCTTAGGACAGCAGTAGCAGCAGATGGGGCTGAGAGAAGGAAATGGGGAATTTGGGGTGTATATATATATATTCAGGGGCTTGGGTCAGGGCTTGTCCGTGCGTTGCATTCCCTGCTGCTTGCCTAGCAGGTAAATGTGGTCTGGACATAAGGGTATTGGGGTTTTACTTTCATTTAAAAAAAAAAAAAAGTAATATTAGAGTTTTAATCAAACACCTGCGCCGCTCTCTCATTTTAGCGGAGTGTTTTGTTGTCCCAAAGGTCTGCGGAATTGAATTAATTTCAGTTTCTCCTTGCGTTGCTGCTGGGGGCCTGCATTTCAGCAGAGCACTCCCAGCGTGGTGTTTCGGTGTGAAATGAAGGGACTTGGCAAGTTTTAAATTCTCTAGTTATTTTTGTCTGCTTCGGAGACTCTTCCTCAACTGATATTTCTATGTTAAAGATTTCAAGATAAGTTGTTCATATTGTTTTCCACTTGAGTATTTTGTAATTTATTACTCCGTCGTTCCAATTTTGTAAAGATTCTGGCTAACACTGCCAAGTGACCGTGCAGTAATGTAATACCCGATTAAGTTTTACAGCAGAAAAGGTCAAATCCTAGAAAGGGTAAATGAAAAATACCTGCTGTTTGTCTGCTGTGTCATCCATAATCTTACAGCTTCTAAATTTGTCAGGGGAGGAGTTGCTTTGAATTTGGCTGTGTCAAATTTTAAGTTGCTTTTTGACTTACTCCCACGCACCTATTTTTATAGGTGAAAACCCTTCGGAGATTTTTTTTTTAAATGACAACTTGGTGGCGTTCCTCACATAGTGCCCTTTGGGTTTATTCTTCTCTAGAAAATCAAGTATTTCCAGGAAGTTATTTATTTAAAAACACTTAATAAAGAACAAATATTTCGACTGTTGGGCTCACGATCTTGCAGCTTGTGTGTCTGCCCAGAGCTGGGGCTGGGATTTTCTGTGTCGTATCGAAAAGTCTCATGTAATTACCGACCGCCTGCGTGTGGGCAGCAGGCTCGTGGAGCTTGCGGCGAAGTCAGGGCAGGAGAGGTGGCTCTTATTTATCTGATTGCCAAAATGATGGATTTGATGCTCGGGGCTTTGTGGGATTTCCCTGAGGACTTGCCTGACTCTTTGAGTTGGAGTTTTTCCACTGCAGTGTGGATTGAGTACTGTGGACTTGTTCTTTTATTATTATTATTTTTTCTTTTTTTTCCCAAAAAGCATCATTTATATCAACTTGCAGCATGCCATGGGATTAATACCAAATGATTTTGACTTAGCCATATTTATTTTGATTGGAATACCTTTAAATTGTTATACAAAATGCATCACTTCTTGCTTCGCGTGCCAGCTCTGTCCCGTAGTTGCTCAGGAAGGTGACCTCATCCCAAACGTGCCGTTTTTCCCTTTATTTGGGCCCGTTTCCCATGACGGCAGGAGGAGTGAGGATGCAGGATACACCTGGCTGTGTGTAGTGACCCTAAATACACCAGGAGCTGGGCTGGGTAGTGAAAAAAAGGGACATAGGAGCTGCTGGTTGCAGACTGGCTAGGAATTAGGACGTTTTAGGGGCATGTGTATCTATCTGCGTACACAGGCGGGGAAGAAAGACACGCGAAGGAGGAGAAGTAATGCCGTGCCATTTGGTAGTGTGAGTTAATAGGTGTGATGTCAGATGAGTAATAAATTGCATTTTAAACACATTGAAGCACACGTAACTGCTTGAATTCCAGAACATTAAAATGTTATTAAATAGACATATTTTTGGAAATGAACAAATCTCAGGTTCTGCTAACCCAGCTTTTTTTGGCTTCAGACTTTGAGATTTATTTATTTATTTTTTTAATTCAAACTTCTGATTTAAGTGTTTCACAGGTTATAATTAATTCTGAAGTGAGTAGTCACAGGTTGGTGTGTATTTATAAAATGTCATCTCTGTGTTTACTGGTAAAAAGCTTAACATCTGTGTTCTGTTTTTGTTTTTGTTTGTTTGTTTGTTTTCTTCCAGGTGATCGGAGGCCTTGTCCTTGCAGTTGGGATTTATGCAGAAGTTGAAAGACAGAAGTACAAAACTCTGGAAAGTGCCTTCCTAGCCCCAGCAATTATTTTAATACTTCTGGGCGTTATAATGTTCGTTGTGTCTTTAGTGGGCGTAGTGGCTTCTCTAAGAGACAATTTATGCCTTCTTCAAGCGGTGAGTGGTGGTTTTTTGTTTGTTTTTCTTAATAATATTAAGAGCTTATTGCTTTTCCTTTTTGTGCCACATGAATTTAAACCTGTAGCCCTATCTATGCCGCACTGAAAAATATTCTGTTTGTTTAGTCCTCTGGCTGTTGTCTGTAGATGTCTTGTGACTCAAAGAGCCTCGTGTAGCAAGCAGTTTTCACTGCTGCATGGGTTCCCCCATCACTGCTTGGAGACACCGATGGATAAAATCAGTCCAAAGCAGACAAAAGTTCAGAAGATTGGGGAATCACGGCTTTGGGATAGCCTGCTCCTAGGGCGTGTTTTATTTCATAGGTGGCTTTGATTCCTCCTGATGATTAATTTGCTGTCTTTAAAATATATCCAGTTGGGACTTTGTTGAAAGTGGAGAGGAATCAAGGCAGGAGGTGGCTGTGTAGGGGAACTAGGACGGGTACTGGAGGTAAAATAGTAAATGGCAGAAGGATTAAGAGATTAAACATCACCTAAACCACGGAGCCAGAGCTGTCAGGGGGTGCTGTCAGTGCACAGAAGGGGTCTGCAGGCTTGCAGCAGACGGGGTGGGAGTGCCCCTGGCGTGCCCCATCTGAAAATGCTGCAAGCCTGAAAGCCGTAAGCCTGTACTGTGAGCAAACAGGGAAGGCACAAAGTGAAGAGGTTAGTTGTGGTCACTGGTGGTTCTTCTAAAAGCTTCTCCTTTCGACCCGCAGGAAGCCACGAGAGAGAGAAGCTGCAGGGCTGACGTGGGGCAGGTGGCTGAGGTCTGGCTGCCCTCGGCTGGGGTGTGAAATCGGGGGGAGGATGGAGAAATGGGACTTGTTAGGGAGCTGTGTCGGGCAGCGGGGTTTCCCTCGGGCTTAGAGACCGGGGCCTGTCCTGGGGGAGAAGTGAAATGGACACAGCTGTGATCTCCAGTGCCTGGAAGGAGCACGTTTCTGAAGAAATGTTAAGTGTATGGTATGCTACCTAGGCCAAAGCAAGAGGTAATTGGGAATTTTGGAATTATGCTGGAACCTGGCTGAGAGGCATTGTGCTGTCATCCCCAAAGGGAACGAGAAATGGCTGAGTCTGTCCTGAGCTGGGAGCGATTTCCTCAATTCTCAGCCTGGTTTTGTTTCCCCAGCTGATGCCAAGGGCATTTTCTGTTCGTGTTGTGGTAGAAAGTCTGGTCGGGCACTTAAACAAACGAGCTCCCTGCTGTCTGTTTCTCAGACTGATTCCATAGTTAGCAGGAAAAAACAGCAAGATATCCATCTGTCCAGTAAATTCATGACACCCATTCCAGGTATTGACGGGCCAGGCATGAAACCCGCACGCTGGGGTGGAGCGAGCAGCGCAGAGACAAGTCCTGCAGCTGCCCAGGGTTCCCCAACAGGGAGGGCTGCAGAAGAAGTCACTGGCTTCGTTAGAGAGCTCGTTAGTGAGCAGAACAGCAGGGGCACCTGTGGTGTTGCTGGGTGTCCATCTAAATTATACCGAATGGGGACAACCTCCTCCTCCTGAGGGTAACTGGGCCCTAAGAGTGTTAAAGATTATTTTCAGATCAGGGGTCGTAAAACTTCTTTCTTGGTGAATTTTGCTGTTAAGAAGCAGACCTAAATTCACATAACAGATCTTTTATACCTAGAGAATCCTCTGGATGGGAAAAACATTTCAAGTACTGGCACGTTTCGGTTATTTGATGGTGTTGCTATGGATTTCGTGGTATTTTTTCATATTCATGTGTTGGATGTGCTTTGATAAGTAGTCACAGATACCTGTGTTGTGGCAGTGTGCCAATGTGTATGGGAATATGTATGTATCTATGTGGTTTTACACACTGTCCTGGCTTCAGAGGACACAAGTAAATAAATGGCTACCTGATACCATTGTTCTTACCACGGGCACAGCAAGTGCACACGTTGAAGGCTCTACAGTCAAGTTGCTGGCTTCACTTCTGAAACTGCACATTGAAATGTACCAAGGCCAGAATTTGGCTTTGATTTAACACTGGCAAATTAATATAAAATGGTTTGGATTATCTTAAAGCACTGCTTTACTTAAAAAATGAAAACGGCTACGTGCCGTCTTTGCTGGAAGTGTCAAAACCCAATGTTCTGTGTGTTTTCTAGCAGTTCAGGTACATCGCGATGAGCCAGGCTGCTCTTATAGGGAGAAGTGTCCTGGCATGATAAATGCATCTATTGGTTTGGATTGCATTCAGAGCCGTAAAATAATGTTTGCCAGTTGGGAAAAAAATATAGAATCACTCAAGCGAAGAAGAAAGTCTTTCTTGTGACATAAGCCATTTTTATAAGAACAACAACAAATGCTATTTTCTTTAAAGACATCTCGTTTCCAGAAAGCCAGGTATGCTGGCGACTGAATGCTATAGACTCTAAGGAGAGTAACTGGAAGAGTAATTGTGACTTGTTCTGCCTAAGATCTCACTTGCTGTTGTTCTCCCGCAGTTCATGTACATCCTTGGTCTCTGTTTGCTGATTGAGCTGACGGGTGGAGTTGTGGCATTGATCTTCAGAAACCAGGTGAGCAGCGTGAGCTGAGACTTCACTCGCCAGGGTTGGCACATGAAGTTGTGGCTGTGCTACCGAGCACATACAAGGCACTACATTTGTCACCCAAGCACTAGCTGACGGGAGCCTGAAGGCAAGTCCGGGCTTCTCAGGGCCTGTCAGGGTAGGGAAGGGTGGAACTGGTCATCAGTTCTGGAAATTAGTTCCAGATTAAAGAATCTGGAGAAACTCTGTTAACTTAATCTGCTAACTAAATACAGGCAAAACGAGTTTCCAGCTTTTAATGCATTACAGCATGCTTTCTTCTAGTTTTCCTTCTGTGTCTCAGATTGCTCTTTCAGGGAGTTTCCAGCTGCATTTGGAGACTATGTTATTTTTTACTGGCCAAAATGTTTTACCTTGCATAAGGGACACCTCTTCCCTGCCCACATCCATGAGCAACACAACTCATTTCTGCAGGAGACCACGCCATTTACAAGCTCACTATAACTACATATATATATATTTAAACCTTTATTTTTCTAATGGAAAGCAGCAGACTATTTATTTTTCTGTTAGAAGGGTTTTAAAATACTCATGTGAGTTTTGGTGGGAGCACCCGGCTCATCTGAACGGAGCAGATCAGCCTCAGCAGCGTAGGAGGGGGCATCACGGGACACAGAGGGTTTGGTTGTCCGAAAATTAAGTAAATACCAACTGTGGGATTTCTGAGAGGGTGAGGGAGAATAGCTATTGACTCCCACACACAGACAGGGTATTGTTGGTTTTCTGCGCATTGAGCACTTTCCTGATGCGATTACTGGCTGGCTGAGCAGGGCAGCTATGTGCAGGGGATAGGGCTTTTTGTTTGGCTTATGAGGTTAATGGATGAGTTGGGGTTAGGATGGGGAGGAGAAGGAAGTATTTAATAAATGCTTACACTAAGAGCCTCCATTTAAATCCTGATAGTTTTACACATCCCATTGTTTTTTTCCATTTCTTTCTCTATTTCCTTCTCAGAACTGGGACAGTCTATTCCTTTTCTTTGAGTCATGCTTATTCTAAGAAATACCTTTCAGTGGCTTGTATTTACAAGGAAAGCGTTGTTGGTGTTTGTGTGCAGCTCGCCTGTCTGCCACACTGTTTGAATGTGTTACACTGGGTTTCACAGGGCCCTGCTTGTCCTTTCTCTTCATGTGCATTTGGTACCTTTGTTTATTTCAGCTGTGATTTGGGCTAAAAACCATTGTGTAATATCGATGTTTCTGCCCCTTACAGCTAAAGCAGTATTCGCAGTGCTGTGATGCAGGTGTATGAATTATTTAGAGCTGAGCTGGCTGCTCGCTGCTCCTCCTGAGCCTGATGAGAGGACAAAGTGTATCCTAAGAAGTCGAGTCTAAACGAGATGGTAATTAAAGATGGCACCAGAGTAGCTGATGTTTGCTGTTGTTTGTTCTTTGATAGTTAGGAGAGTCCTGCAAAATACCTTGCTAGTTGTAATTGCTGAGGTGATAACCTTTTTTTTTGTTTATTTATTTAAATAAAAATTAAAAGGCTATTCTTTTCTGCTTGTCAGGTACACTTGGGACTTAAACCTGTTCTTTAAGTGTTTCATCATTTCGAACTGATGAATTGTGTTTACTTTTGCCTTCCAGACAATCAAATTTTTGAACGATAATATTAGAAGAGGAATTGAGAATTACTACGATGATTTGGACTTCAAGAACATCATGGATTCAGTTCAGAAACAGGTTTGCTTATTTTTATTTTTTAATTTTTTTTCCTGGGACTAACCCAGTTCCAAGCAATGCCAAGATGTAGTGGGTCCTCAGTGACAGCGTTAAGTTTTTCCAGTGATGTTGTAATCAAATTCATATTGACAAGGTCTCATGTGTCATCTGTTACGGCGTGGCTGTGGGCAGGGCTCCTCCAGCGTCCCAGCTGGCATCCGAAGCTCCCTAAATCACTGCAAGAAGGGAGGGCAAAGCACAGCTCTCGCCTTGGTAGGTGTGACTGATGATCGAGGCCAGATCCTGCAAATATTTAAGCTTATATGGGGCCCACGGCCAGATTTGGACAAATTCAGCTTAAATTCCACCCAAGTTCTTGTTCTTAGTGCTTCTGATGACTGGTCTAAGACATTCAACAACATCTAGTTAACGGGAAGCGCTGGATAAGAAGAGATTGGGTGGCAGGTAAGCTGCTTTAACCTGGTCAATCATATTTTCACTCAAGGGCACATAGCAAGCTCTTTAATAAGCTGGTTATTCAAATGAAATCCCCATGGAAGCATATATACCTGTAATTAAAAATCAGAAGTTGTGCTGGGCACAGCTGAGCATTACTTAATGGCACTTGCAGTTGACTCATAGCCTTTTTTTTCACACTGGTGTGTTGAAATGTTTATTGGCTTACTGAAGAGCTCTGACCTACAGTTTGGAAACTATAGAAGAAGCAGAAAATGTTCAGAAATGTGAACGTTTACAGAGCCCATGTGATGCCAGTCACCACGCCAAATAGAAAAAATAAAATACAACAAGTTAACTTAGTAAATGGTATGTATGTTTTATGACATCGTTATGGAAATGGCAGCCTGCTTCAAAAAAACAAAGTTAGCACAGAAAGTCTGTCAAAAACAAATCATCCCGAGGAAATTTTGTCATAATACTTCATAACGCTTTAAAGTTTCCATGCACTGCCCAAAATTTTATATATATGCAGTGAATATAAATGTTAGTGATTATCTAAACTGCTGCTGTTTACTTTATGTTTTAAAGGAAAGGAATGTTTCTATTAAGCTGGTGTAAACTTACAGTATTTTTTTTGCCAGCTGTCAGTTCTACTAACTAAATTATACCTGAAATATTTTGGTGATTTTTTTTAATGCCTTATATCAACACTGTTGTCTTTTAGAGACATTTAGAAATGTCTTAAAAATTAAAAATTTGAAGGACTGCATTACAGCTGTAGATGAGCTGAAGTGAATGTAAAAACATTTTTCAGTGATGTCAAGACCTGAAAAGAAAGTTTTTCAACCTGGAAAAGGTTGGAGGTGGAACTTAGCACCAGGTGCTTTCCTCTGACACCTTGTGTAATAGCTTGATGAGCAACAGAGGAATGCTGTCTATGTCCTGAATTCTTTTCAGATGTGTTTCTTTGGTGCAGGAGCAATATTTGTGCTGTTCAGGAGCGAGAGCCTCCAGCATCTGGCACCCTCCCTGCCCTCCCTGATGGCTGGTGTAAAGTAGTGGTCAGCACTTGGATTTGCACTTCAATTGATTGCCTGTGCTGAGTTATGCTGGCCTCGGCCAAGCCACGCTCACAGATTTTAGATACCAATTTGGTCTCTTTCTGCCCTTTTTGTTTGTCCTGAACATGAAAGCATTCTTTTGGACGTGATTTTATACGAGATACATTATTAAACAATTTTTCTCCTTGGGACCAGAGACTCCTTTTTCACTTCTCACCAATCCCTGCAGCTCAGCTGATTTTGAAAACATCCACGAGGTTTAAAGGTTTGTTGCTTGATCTGATCAGAAACATAGTTTTCCCTTTCTTACATATTTTATTTGTGTATATAGTCACACTTCATTAATACATCTACATACGCCTTTCTGATAGAAAAACAGAATTGCTGGGTAGCTGCCGTGTTCCTTGGTGCTCTTAAAACTGTTTTATTTCTTATTTTCTTTTTCTTTCCTCCCATTATTAGAAGAGCTGCTCTTAACATCTGACTCTTTCCTTTGTCTTTTGTGTCGTTTTCCCAGTTTAAGTGTTGCGGTGGGGAGGACTACAGAGACTGGGCAAAAAACGTGTACCACAGCTGTGAGGCACCGGGACCGCTGGCCTGCGGAGTGCCTTACACATGCTGTGTCACAAACAAGGTGAGCCCGGGGGCAGCATCCTCTGACCTGGTGGCTTGGATGGACCAGGGCTACGTAAAATAGCCCTGCCTGGCTGGGGACCACAAGCAGGGATTGAGCTGGAGTTCCTGTCTCCCTGGGGGCCAGCAGTTGGCAGCGAGGAGAGGTGTCACCCAAACATGCCCTCTGCAGGCGTCGGCACGTCTCGGAGAAGCAAATCCACGTCTCCTTTTCACGGGGAGCACCTGGCAGCTTGTCTCCTGTACCCGTTTTGATGGAGAGCTAGTGATGGATAGCCCGCTGGTGCCTGTTAGGCGCAGTCCTTTCATTGTCAAGCACGAATGTTTAATTAAAAAAAGAAAGAAAAATGCAATAGTGATCTCAGTAATCCGGCTGGGTATTGCTGAGAAATGTGTATAGCACAAAGGTGTTTATCACATAAGCTTACACGTTCTTGTGGGTCAGAAGGAGTCTGTTTAAATATGTGCTGAGCTTTGATTTATTCTCAGAAACCAAAGCTAAACAGTTATGTTTTAAGTCTCAGGTGTTTGAGAAATGCTGTATCTGAAAATAATACACGCTCATCCACTGCATGGAGCTGGCAGGAGAGCTCAGGATTTTGCCCTCAGTTGATGGTAAAGGAAGACAGAGATGACCAGTAAAGAGCAATCTGGCTTTTTAGTGGTGACTCAGCTGCAGGGCTTGCTCTTCTGAATCTCACATCTCTCAAATGAAGCCTTGTTTTATACGCTTTGTTAATTCATGCGTGTAGAAATGCAGCAGTACCACGAGGGTAAGTGCTGTAACAAGCAGTGGCTCTTGCTGCTACATGGAAGTTACCTTTGGAATTATTAGGTCCTGTTTGTGGTATGTTCGTGTCCCTTATTTGATGTGCATTGATGGATTTTGTACAGAGTGAGTAGCTGGGAGTTGTCTGCAAACTGTTAAGCTCAGCGAAGTTAACTGAGAGGCACGGAGAAGTCCCCGAACCACGACGAGATTTCTTGTTTAAGGGTAGACTTCAGCAAGACACTGCAATGTGCTAGGGCTTGGAGCTTTGCTGCACCTGGGAGCAGGACCACGGAGCCATTGGCGTGCCGTGCCGTGGTCAGAGAGATGTGAGCAGCACGGGTGTGTATCGGGCAGGGTGACACGAACACCACGGCTCTGTACGGCCAGCTGCCTTAAAAAAAAAAAAAAAAAAGAAAAAGATGATGCATAAATCTTATATGTTTGACAAACACTTCCAAATACAGTCTGGTTTCTGTCCTGGAAAACTACAGATATGGTTTGTAATTACTCATTCGCTTCATAGTCATGGAAAACTCCTGTTAATGTAGGAGGGTTGGATTCTGACCCTTTTTAAAAGCCTTTTGCAAGACGGGCCAGGCTCTGATCATGCTTATGCTGGGGGCAATCTGAAGGATTTATTATCAAATCAAAGTCTTTAATAAAGACTTACACAAGTGTAGCTGAGATAAAAATGAGTCCCCAGAAGCATACAAACTTCTGTTTCTAGTGCATTCATCTCCATTGCGCACAGTTTCTTGGGCCACGATGTCTCCCTAGCAAGCCTCATGTTTAAAATTCAGTGATGCAATGAAGTTCTTTGTTGTCAAATATTTTGCTAATGGCCTGCGTGTTTATGTTAGGCTCAAGTGTTGTGAGAATGGGAAGTCTCTGGCAGCAAACAGGGCAATACGACGATGCCCCTGGTACTGCCGACCTTGGCTTCCCACGAACGGCTCCTCGCCGTGCCTTCACCTGGGACACGGGCAGGGGTTTTCTTGAGGTGTGCCCTGCCCCTCGTTTGCCTGCCAGTTGCATGTTCGAGGGAAAGCCTGGCTTCTTGGGTTCTTTAAAAAAAACAAAACCACACACACAAAACTAGTCTACATCTTGTCTTAATTTTGTGGGGGAATATTGCCGTAAAGAAGAGTTGGCTTTGCCTTATTCTCATTTACTTATTCTCATTTTTGGCTTCGTTTGATGCCAGTGGGCTTTAAATTAGTTGATTTGCAAGTCCAGGACAGTATTTTCCTGTTAGCCTTGGCAGGCTGTTTAGGCTTCGGGACCCAAGTAAAATATTAAAAGACCACAGAAAATGGTCTGGTAATCTGCGACGAATGCAAACATTCAGAGTTTGGTCTCGTAAAATGCTCACAGAATGTTTGTAGTATCGGACGTTATTTGGATCCGGGGCATTTCCAAGTTTAAACTTGTCATCCTGATGGAATGATGGCCTTAATCCCTGCCTTTCTTAATATGGTGTCTGAAGTTATTAAAGCCCTACAATTAAAACTGGCTCTTCATTCCCTGGAAATAGCGACAGCTTGCAGGTCTGTCCTAGCTAGCTTTGGTTTCTGACACCACTCTTCTTGCTGGATGGATCGGGGTCAGGCACCTCATGAGATGCCACCAGTACTCATTTCTTTAAAACCACGTAGGGCTCCAAGTCTGACCCTGGGGGCACTGGGAGAAACTCTCCCAGCATTTTCTTCCTTTTCCCCCTGGCTGATTTTGGCACAGATTATCACCCACCCCACCATGCTCACCTTGTGGGATGGCCTCAGAGCCACAGCACAGCCCGGGGCAGTTGGGACCTTCAGGTTTTTGCTTTGCTGTACTTAAATTGGTTGTTTTCTTTTCAGACAGACATTATCAACACCATGTGTGGATACAAAACAATTGACCAAGAGGTAAAGTAACCCGTATCCACCACGGGATGGTAAAGGTGCTTTTTGTGCTTTTCTGGATTCGTTTTTGTCACTTATAAAATTGTCTTCTGCACCCTTGAATCTACCAAGAAGTTAAAGCAGCTGCTAACCTGATTTTACCTGGAATAGCTTTGGTATATATAAAAATATCTTGTTTGATTTGTTGGATCTTCCCTTCTTGGCACCTTCCATGATTTCTCGTTTGATGTGCATGAAGCATTTCTTTCCAACCCCCCTCACGCACACACTTACAGTAACTGCACAGCAAATACAAAGAAAGATACTTCAGTGCTTTTCAACAGTGGTGTGACTAAAATTGGTTTCCTTGCAGCCAATTGAGGCTTAAAGACCTACAAATAAAGTACCCATTACCGGGATATAAAATACTTGGAAACAACTGATTCCTGGAAGAGGAAAGGGTCTGCCCGGGCTGTGCCCGCAGCCAGACTGCTCGTCCCTGGGGGCTGGATGTTGCCCCCTTCTTTGGTTTTCCCCCTTGGAAATTACCCCAGAGGCTCTGGAGTAACCTGCCTTCCTTTGGATGCACTGACTTCTGCCTCCAAAACCTAACTGCTCCAGCCTGCCCCTAACGCACAAAGCACTTAAGCACGTGCTTAACTTCACCCAACTCATCTGCTTAGGGCTCTTTGCAGGCTCAAGTGGGTTGGGGCCACAGTGCAGGGCAGCCTGTGGGGCTCGATCTTAAATCGTCTTGTTCCTGGCCTTCCTGTAGGCTATTGCAAAGCTCTCTGTCTGCAATTTATATTTTTCCACTGCTGTACTTTCAACTCAGAAGTAGAAGTAAAAGCTAAAGGGAGACTTCTGTCCTTTCCATGTGGTCTAAAATTAGAATCAGATGCATTTCTTTTGGGGAAGTAGTATCAGAAGAGGATGGCTTTTTTGTTTTTAATAACTTGCTCAGTTGTGGAACAGCTAGGGAACAGCCTAAAGGATCCCTGGGGAGGCCTCCACCAAACTCGGCAGGTTTAAAGAGATGTGGAGGAGTCAGACCCAGTGTGACTGAACCCTGCAGTGCCGCGTGTTACCGCGTCTTGCGCCTGTGCCAGCTGCTGCTTCAGTGCCTGCTCTGTTACTTTGCAGCGCCTGAGTGTTCAGCACATCATTTACGTCCGAGGGTGCACGAACGCAGTGCTCATCTGGTTTTTAGACAACTACAGCATCATGGCTGGCATTCTGCTCGGCATATTGCTACCCCAGGTAAGGAGAGCCCGGTGCGGTACCCAGCAAGGGGAGTGCCTGATTTGTTGCCATGGTCTGTGAAGTCCCAGTTACTTCATTTCATTTTATTTTTTATTTAAATTTAGCATGACGGATAAGCTGAGATGGCATCTGGTAATTTAGCAGCATTACTGTGATCCACTGCAGCTTGTGGGGGGGTTGCTGGGGTTAGTTTTGAAGTCCTCACCTGATCTGTGTCCTCTAGGACTTTGTAGTGCTCCGAGGCAACGGGCTGGTAAATATTTCGCTATATCAGCTATTCACAAACATGATTCATTTTTTTCCCTTATACACAAAATCCCTATGAGAAGAATATCAGCATGAGGTTCTGTCAGTATTTACTTTGTGTACGTACCCATCAACCTGATGTACGTGTGCGTGATTTGTGAACGCCGTGCTGTGGAAGCCCAGACAAGCGGCATGCAATCCCCTGCTCAGAGATGCCCCTTTGTTTTGCAGTTCCTCGGGGTGCTGCTGTCTCTGCTTTACATAACGCGAGTGGAAGACATCATCAGCGAACACAAGCTGAGCGAAAATCTCTTTGAAGAAACGTGGCAGAGATCCCAGCCCGAGTTTGCTGCCTCGGGCTGCTGCATGTGCTACCCCGGCTGACGGCAGGAGCCCACCGACCTCTGCTGGGTTGTGCTGGCTTCGTAGCTATTCCAGACGCTGGGTGTAATTAATCAACTCTCACTCCTTTTTGGTAGTTTTGAAACTGCAGTACCAAAAACAGAGCCCGAATTCTCCCTGCCCCGTGGTCTTAATATTTCTACTGCCCCTCTGTGCGTGCGGAGCTATCGCGAGGCCCCTCGGCAGCGCGCTCCGGTTGTCTGCGAGCCCTGGAGACGCCGACCTTCTGGGATGCCCCATCCCGCTGTGACCACGGTGGACAGTGATTTTGGTGTCCTGGAGGGTGGGAACGATGCTCCCTGTTACAGCTCCAAGGCGGTCTTGTCGGCGATTGAATCTCTCTGCCTGATTGCTGAGTGATGCGTGGTCAGGACGGCTTCATGCTGGGAAAATCCGAAGCTAGATTTCTATCAAGAGCTTTTGTACCTTGGTGTGTTGTATTTAAATGTTAGCCCCATCAAACTTTATTTTCTTACTTGTTGCAAGGCAGAAGATGGATTTCTTACTGACCTGAATGGTGGATATTGAACACCTTGAATAATTTTTTATGCTAATCTCAATTTACTGACAATTGTGGATGTGACGCTGAACATTTTCATTGCTCAGTCTTTTGTGCCTTTTAATAATGGGGCAAACGCCAGTGTGGAATTAATCAGGTAATTCTTGATGTACTTTTAATGCAATTTATTGCTATCTGGGTTGGTATAAATTCCTGAGACGTTTGAGTCTTGTATGTATAAATTCCTGAGACGTTTGAGTCTTGTATTTTTCCTCATTAGTAATTTAACTAGGTGATTTCTTTTGGAGTTGTATGTGCTGAAATGTTTCTGAATTTGATTCTTCTTGTCAAAATAAAAAATGTAAGTTTTTTTAAAAAAACAAAACACACACACAAAGACGTTGTTTAAAATGATGGTTTCTATCCTGCTTTTGTAAATCTCTTCCTTTCTAATACTCCACTAAGAAGAAATGCCTCGTGTCACTCCTTCCTCGCTGCTTGTCTTCTGCTTTTCTTAATATCACCTTTTCTGTTTCTTTTTTTTTTTTTTTTTTTTTTTTGTCTCCGGCTTAGAAACCAGAGACTCCTTCCTTCACCAAGGATTTCTGAGGGGGTTTCATGCTTTGCCAGGTACCAATAAAGACCACCACGAGTCTTTGCTGTTTATGCCGGTGGCTGCTGGTTGTGAGAGGGGGCTCCCGGTGCCCAGCAGCGCGGGGAGGTTATTTCCTACACAGCACACTCTAGTGTTTGCTTGGGGATTTGGCTGCTCCGAGCCTTTGGCAGCTCCGTTTTTCTGCTCTCTGTCCTGCATAACGCAGCTTGGCAAGGTGAGAAGCAAGGCGGGTTTTAGGGGTGGATTTATGGATAAAGCAAGAAAGAGGGAAAAGAAAAGGAGGGCGCAGGGTGGAAGGATGAACCTGGCTGCTGGTGGAAGGGAGGAAGGGGTGAGGGGGCTGTGCAGAAGCCCAAATTTGCCTGCTGTGGGAAATGGGCTGGGAACAGGAATGGGGAGAAGCAGAGCTGTGCCCTGGCCTTCAGCGAGAGGGGAGCAGCACCCGGGGCTGGGGTGGCAGGAGCGCTCTGCTGAATTTGGAAGGAGGGAATGACAAAGGAATTATTATTATTATTATTTTACTGGTGTCTTTTAAGTGTGGTGGATGTTTGAAGGACAAGATACCCAGGAGAGCACGAAGTGAGAGAAGTTTGGGGTTAAATTTAGGGGGATTTAAATGGCAAATGGAATGGGGAGAATACTGGGGGATGCCAGTGAGCCGGTCTCTTTTAGCAAGGAAACTCATGGGGTGTACCCAATTTTGGACCATTTAAGTTCACTTTCGTGGTACTTGAGAGTAGGGTTTACCGGGCCATTGTGGGCTAGGTGCATGGGGCTTTTTGACCCAATTGCCTTTTGAAGATGCCCACACTTGTCCTGGTCTCATCCTGCATGTGGCTGTGCGTGAAAACCGCCGCAGCCCCGTGCTTTTCCAGACCATCTGGGCTCTCTTGGGGCTGCCGTCTTACAAAGAGTGAAGATCACTGATCCCACTCGGTCCCTGCTTTCCACAGCTATGGACAAACTCCTCCTCGCGGACGCCTCCCTGGCCGGCTGTGGGAATTGCTCCTCGCTGCTGTTACAGCTGGGCACAGCCCTGCGTGACCCCAGCACCGCTGCTTTTGTGATGCTCTGCCACGAAATCCGCAATTGCTGCAGCTCTGGCTGGGGGGAGGAAGCCCTCCAGCTTCCCCCTCTAGCGGTGTGGCTCTGTCACGGCACAAGAAATAATATCTATATTTTTATTTCCCCCCCAGCTCCCTCGCTGTCACCTCAGGCTCTGCCATGCCACGGACCTCGGCTCACCGGAGCGCAGCTGGGGGCACACGGGGCTGCTTCGGTTTTGTCTCCATCATTTGCCCTCGCACCTTTCTGGGGAAGGGGCTGCGCGGGGAGGGAAGGGGGCACCTCCCCACCGGTGCTGTCAGCAGGTGTCGGGCTTGTTAAAATGAAATCCAGCCCCTCAGCTGGCTCAGCCCTGCTCTGTGCTCACACTTGGGATGAAAACGCTGCCCCTGTTCCCGTGCTCTGCTCTGTCTGCAGCTGGAAGGGCTGAAGTCCTGCCTCGTGACGGGGCTGAGAGCCACCTGCAAATGCAGCTGTTGGAGCCCTGCAGGAAACTCGGTGTCCTGCCCCGTCCCTGTCCTGCCTTGAAGGATCCCCCTCTCCTTCCCCGACCACTTGGCGTTCGCTGATGGGGAGCCTGGCCCTGCAGAAGATGACTTTCAGTCCCCTGCCTTTGGGGCTGGCCGTGGCTTTGCTGGCTCCTTCTGGCAGCAAAACAGCAGCCCAAAATGTGGCACCGACCACACCTGCCCCTGCTGATGCTGCTCGCAGCCCTCCCGGGGCCAGCTCCACAAACCCCAGGGGCAAAAGGGACGGGGATGGATGGGAGGCAGCTTTTGAGCCACATAATGAAAACAGGGTGTGAGCAGACCCATTTCCCAGAAGGGAAAGGTGAGGCCGGCAGCGCTGTGCCTCTGCGCTGCCTTTCAACCCCGGTGCCCCCCGAGTGGGGCAGGATGCGGCCCCGCAGCCCCCAGCCCCGCGGCAGCGGCACGCCGGCCCCGATTATTGTTGGGTGTCGAAAAAGACATTGAAAAGAAAGGAGGAGAGCTGTGAAGAGGGTCACTTTAGTGGCTCTTTCATTTATTTTTTTTTTCTTCCCCCGAGAAGGAAGTTAGAAAAGCAGAGCCCTCAAAGCCGCATTGAAAGGGTGACAGAGACGGGATAATGCGTAAGACCGAGGGAAGGAATCTCAGAGCACTCGCCACGGTGTTTTAATGATCTGTTAACAATTACCCCTTTCAGGGGAGAACATATGGTAGATGGTTTGCTTAAAAAAAAAAAAAAAGAAAAGGACAAAAAAAAAAAAGAGAAAAAAGAAATTGCTTCAGAAACTTAAATGATGTTGGGAACGTGGTGGGGATTGATGGAAAGAGCTGGGGGAGGGAGGGGATCCCTGCACCGAGCACGGGGGGGCTGGAGCCTAGGACCCACGGATGCTGATGGTGGCTGGGGGCTGCTCCTCGTGGCTGTGAGCACCACCTGTGGGTGCCCCGTGGGACCCGAGCCCACCTCTGTCCCCTGGGGGGAAGGTGCTGATAAAATCGAGGAAGCTTCACCCAGGCCAGCAGCACCTCCCCTGTGTGTGTGCATGGGGGGAAGGCAGCCCCCAGGTCCCCAAGCCCATCGGTGGGTCAGGGAACGCCACGTGCCAGAGCTGCAGACTGGAGCAGGACCACGTCCTTGGGCTCTGCAGCCCATGGTCCCGTCCTGACCCCATCCCATGGGCTGCAGCCCCTGCTCTGAGGCCGGCTCTGGTCTGAGCCCAGCTGCCAGGCATGGCCAGCAATGAGCCCATGGCTGGGGGTCACCTGGCCACACAAATTGCTAATGTCACACAGGTGCAGCCAGGTGAGGGAGCGTTTTGAGCTTTCCCTGCTGTTATCTGCTGTGAAATCACTGCCTTTCGCTGTCCTGGCTTTTTAGTGTGAGGTTTGATCGTGGCTTCCTATGAACGCATCACCAAGGATCCATCACAGGTCTCAGCCTTGGGCAGAAACCATCCCCTTGTCTCTGGGACTCGCCTTGTCTTCTGCTGGACCTGGGAGGGAGGCGAGGAGAGGCTTTGTCCTGAGCAGCAGGGTGAGGAGGGACAGGGCTGGCACTTGGCATTGATTTCTCTGCTTTCTCCTGCAACGCTTCCAGTTTGACCAGCAGAGCCTCCAACGTGGAGAGGAAAACTCATCTGGGGTCACTTTGGGCAGCAGGTGAGCCCAGTCCCTGTGTCTGATGAGCAGCTGGCAGGACAAAGAGCTGACGAGCATCCCAGCCTGCACCCTTGCAGCCCCGTTGTGCACCAGCGTGCCAGAAGCTGGGGTTTGCCCCGTGGGACAGGAGTGCTGCTCAGGGCGATGCCAGCCCGAGCACCCTGGCCATGGGGTGCCTTGTGGGACCTGGCCAGGGGCTGGCTGCGAGGCTTGGGCACGCTTGGAAAACCCGAGGGAGAGGCACTGGCTGCGTGAGCCGTCCCTGTGCAGCTGGAGAAGCAGCAGCCCCTTGCTGGTGGTGAAGCAGCGTGGGGCCGGGGGCTCTGCACCAGGCAGAGGGGAGCAAACCCGGGGAGGTGGGGCTGGAGGCGAACCCTGGGCGAGCGCCTTTGTGTAACGGGGTGGCACGGGCACCTGTGGGCATCGCCCACCCCAATCCTCCTCTGACCACTTTGTGCTTGGCGTCTGCTGCCTCCCTGTCCTTTCCCTGGCACTTTTTGTCCTTTCCCACCTCCTACCCAGAGATAATCCAGGTGTCTGAACGCTTGCGCTCCTGTTCTGCCCCAAAGCAGGGCGCCAGCAGCCGCCTGCCCCCGCAGGCTGCGTTTTAGAGCCACGCTTGGACGGAGCCTTCGGCGCTCCTCTCCCCGCACCCTCGCAGCTCTCCTCCTCCTGGGGCACGGTCGGAGCGGTGCCTGCGGGATTTCCGAGCTCCCTTTGCAGCTCTGCCCGTGCGGGGCTCCGGGCTCGGCGCTGCCGCTGTCCCCGCCGAGCTCCGGGGGGGCCCCGCTCTCCCCAGCCGTGCGCCCCGTCGGGCGGCGGGGACGCGCTCCCGGCGCCGCTTTCCCTGCCCTCCTCCTGCTTTTTTTTGCTCTCCTTTTTGCCCCTTTTCCTCTCCCCCCCGTGGGGGCCAGCCCCGTGGGGGAGGAAGGGAGAAATCTCGTTTGGATGCGGCGCTCACGGAGGGGGGCACCTGGCGCACCTCGCGCCCGGCATCCGCGCTCCTCGGGTGCCCGCAGCGCGCTCGCCCCGGGGCGCGGGGGCTGCCGAGCATCTGCCGGGAGCCGCAGCGAGGGGCTGCGGGGCCCTGGGGGGCTCCGTGAGCACCGGGGGCTCCGGGCAGGGCCGCGGCCCCGGGAGGAAGAGGAGGAGGAGGAGGAGGAGGAGGAGGGAAAGGGGAGCAGCGGGCGCGCCCCGGGGCCGTGCGCGTCCGGGGCTGCGGGGCGCGGAGCGGTCCCGGCCGTGCCCGTGGGGGTCGGGGAAGGGGGCGAGGGGGCTGTGGGGGTCCGGGCCGCCCTCCCCAGCCCCGTTCCTCCGCCGCTCGACCCGCGGCCGTCGGGCGGGCGGGCTGCGGCCGGGCCGCGGCTCTGCGAAACGTCTCCAACGCCTGGCAGGCGAGGGATGTGCCGGGGCTCCGCTGGTTGCCATATGTTTTCAATAAAATAAGACAAATAGGGCCGGGAGATAGGGCTTGCAGTAAACCTGTTATAAAGGAGCATAAAATAGGCCAATGTAAACGCCAGAAGGGCCCCTCCGGGAAGGGCCGTTTGGTGCCAGCCCCGCGCCGCAGCGGCTCAGACAGGTGTGAGCAGGAGCCCGACGCGGTGCCCCCGGAGATTTTTATCACGTTTGTGGTAATATTGTGCTTGTTATGCTAACTATGAGTAAACATACCCGGCCGGGCATTGTGGCAACAGGAGGGAGTTATCGGAAAGTGGCAGTGGGAAGGTGATTTAACAATAAAGTTGTCTTGTTTGCCAGCAGGTGATGTCTGCCCCCAGCCCCATGATTAATGCTTCCCAAAGCACTCCACTTTACAATCTCTTGTAATTATTTATTAAACGAAATCTATTTATTATTATTTTAGCAAACAGTGGTACCAGGTGGGGCTTTCTTTCCCTCTCCAGCTTTTGTTTGAAGGACGTTTGAAGTGGGCAGTCTGAGGCTTGGAAACTCGCTCGCCAGATTTTTTTGTCATCCAATTGCACAGGCACAAAAAAAACCTGCCGGGCCCTTCCTATTCATCCTCCCCTGCCCTCCTCGCCGCCCCTCGAGAAGGGGCGCCCGGGCCGCCGTCGTCTCCCCCCCCCCTTCGCCCCCCTCCGCCCCCCGGCCCCTCTCCCCCGCCCGCCGCCGCCGCCCGGGGGGGAGCGGAGCCGCCGCGCCGCGCTCCCGGAGAGGCACCGCGCACCGCCGGGCCGGGGGCCGGGGAACGGGGACCGGGGGTCGGGGGGCGAGCACCGGGGCTCGGGGAGCGGGGCCCGGCCCGGGGGAGCCGCCTCAGCCCCTCCTCGGCCAGGCCCGGCCGCTCCCGGCGGCGCCGTTCCCCCGGCGGGCGCCGTCGCGCTGCTTTGGGGAGGGAGTGGGGGGCTCGCTCCCCGCCGGGGCTGCGCCCCCCCGCCGGCCCTGCCCGCCCCCAGAGGGGGCTCCGGGCTCCGCAGGGGGGCCCCGGCCTCGCCGTCCGCGCCCCCCCGCCCTGCGCCAGGGGCAACGGGAGCCGGGCACGGGCCGGTCCCCGCCGCCCGTCGCTGCCGGTGCGCAAAAATCCCGGGCACGTTTTGCGCACCAAGCCCCGGCCGTGGGGCCGCCCGGCCCGGCCCGAGCGCAGGGCTGGAGGGGCGCCGGCTGCCGGGGGCAACAGGGGGGGACCCTTCCCCGTCGGGACGCGGCCCCCGTTTCCCTGGGGGGAGCGAGGGGACGGCGCGGGGGGGGCGGGAGAGAGGCCCCCCCAGTCCTGCCCCCGGCCGCTCGGAGCCCGGAGGGCAGCGAGGGGCGCGGGGCCGGCCCCGGCGCGGTGGGGGCGAGGAGAGGGGGCGAGGGGCCGGGATCGCCCTGGAGCTGTCGGGGGCTCTCTCGTGGCCCGGCTCGGGGCGGCGGGCGGTGCCGGGCCCGGCACGCTCCCGGCGGGCTGATAAGATAAAAGCGTGCCAAGGGGTGGGTGCGGGCGGGGGGGCGCACACGCTGCCCGGCCGGGAAATCCCCATTGTCTGCCGGCCCTATATATAGGGGCCTAACGGCAGTCGTGTGCCGGCCGCGCAACCTGTCCTGCCCGCGCTCGACGGCTCGGCACGGCTCGGCTCGGCACGGGAGAAGGGGAACCGAGGCCCCTCTCCTTCCCCGCAGCCTCCCCCCGGGGCGCGCAGGTAAAGCCGCCGCCGGGGCCGCGCAGAGGGGGCCGCGGGGCCGGCTCCCCCCGAGCCTTACCGCGGGGCTTGGCTTTGCAGGATGGCCCCGCAGAGCCAGTGCCCCCCGGGCGAAGGGCAGCCCTATTTCGGCGGCCCCCCCGCCGCCGCCCCCGCCGCCCCCTCCCCGGCCGCCGGCGGCCCCGCGGGTGCGGGTGCGGGTGCGGGCAGCCGGGGCGCGTCCCCGGCGCGCAGGAAGGGGAAGGCGCGGAGGGGCCGCGGGAAGGCGCGCAGCGAGGGGCTGCTGGGCAAGCAGAAGCGCAGCCGGCGGATGAAAGCCAACGACCGGGAGAGGAACCGCATGCACCACCTCAACTCCGCCCTGGACGCGCTCCGCAGCGTCCTGCCCACCTTCCCCGACGACGCCAAGCTCACCAAGATCGAGACGCTCCGCTTCGCGCACAACTACATCTGGGCGCTCACGCAGAGCCTGCGCCTGGCCGAGCAGAGCCTGCCCGAGCCCCCCCCGCCGCCGCCGCCCCCCGCCGCCTCCCCCGGGCCCTGGGGCTCGCCCTGCCCCGCCGCCCCCGCGCCCCCCGCCGCCTTCCCCGCCTTCCTCTGAGCCCCCCGGAGCTTGCTGTCCCCCGCTCCTGCCCTCCCCCGGCCCCAAATCGCGGTCGGAGGGGGCTCCCCGCGCACTTTTCGCGCTGGGCACCGGGGGGGGGACACCCGCGGGAGCCCCGCGCCCCCTGGCCCGGGAGCGGTGGGCAGGCGGCTCCAAATCACGGTTTTGTACTCGGAAACGGTAAATTATATTAATTTGTCGCTATCGGTATTTATTGATTATAGTTCGTAACAAATATATATTTTGTATATAAGAGTATTTTTGGCAGCGGTGGTCTGGCTGTTTGTACCGGGGCGGGGGAGGGGGGGGGCGCCTTCTTTTCATTCGGAAGGAGAGGGGAATAAAGTGTGTCGCGGCCAGACCTGCGCGACGCGGCGATTTGGGGTTCGTTGGCTTGTTTTTCGTTTTGATTTCCCCGAGGAGCGCTTCCAAAATCGCGCGCAGCCCGCAGCGGAGGCTGCGCCGGGCTCTGCGGGGGCTTGCGCGGAGCTGGGGTCCGGGGGCAGGGGCGGCGCAGGGGGACCCCAGCTCCCCGCCACCCACCCGCGCATCTTGCGCCGTCCCCTGCGCTCCTTTCCCCGCGGGGCCGTGGGACCCCCTCGCCGCCGGATTTTCAGCGCCCTGGGGTCATTTCGGGGCTGGCCCGGCCCGACAGCAGCCTCCCCTATTCGGGGGGAGGCCGGAGCGGTTAGAAACGCAGGAGGTGGGGAGAGAAACCCCTCCCGCGCAGCCCCCAGGGGAAGGGGACGGGGGGCTCCCGGGGTCTCAATTTGTAGCTGCAGATTTACGGCCGGGCCCCCTCCCCTCCCGGGGAGACAAAGCGGGCCGCGAGGCCGCGGGCCCGTTGTGATGCTAATTGTCCGCCGCCGAGCCCGTTCGCCGGCAGCGAAGAGCCCCGCAATTGAGGCAATTTGTAGGACAAAAGAAATTTGGGTACGGGACACAACGGCGCGCGTCCCCCCCCTACAAAAAAAAAAAAGGAAAAAAAAAAAAAGGAAAAAAAAAGAAAAAGAAAAAAAGCTCCGAGACGAAGAAGAACGGGGAGGGGGGAACCGCAGAGGGTGCGGGGAGCCGGGTGTGGGGGTGCGGGTGGGGAGGATTTGGGGGAATTGGGGGGGCTCTGCCCTGCGCGGGGCGGGCGCTGTCCCGGCGGGCCGGGCGCTCTCCCTGGTGCTGAAGGCGGCCGAGGAGGGGCCGGGGGCGATCGGGGCCCCACGCGTGGGGGCTGCCCCGCCACGGCCCGCGGGGACGCGCACGGGGGTCGGGGGCGGGCGGCGTGGGGAGGTGGTGGGAGTCCTGCCCCCCGCCCCGCTCGCCGGCTGAGTCGCGTTATTGTTGGCGGTGGGGAGAGGCAGCGTGTGTGGTCACAGCGAGGGGAAAGGTGGAAATGGTCCCCAAAAATCAACCCCAAAATGGTGGTGGTGGTTTGGGGGGTGGAGTGGTGTCGTGCTTGCTGCCGTCGGGGCCGCTCCTCGCTGGTCCTACAGCGCTGCGCCTCACCTGTGTGCGCCCCGGGACTGCGGGGGATAAGCGGGCAGCCCTTCTGTCTGCAAAAGGGACATTTTGGGAGAAATTCCCAAAGGGAGCTCAGGACTATATGGTCAGGAGACAGGTCCCTAAAAGCCCCAGGAGCAGCAGGTTTTGCCAAAGCCCTGAGAGGTGACTCCAGGTGCCCCCGCACCTCCAGACGCTGGGCGCTTCCGCGGGTTAGGGACACAGTTCAGTGGGTGACGTTGGTGGTAGGGGGATGGTTGGACCAGGTGAAGGTCCTGAAGGTCTTTTCCAACCTTAATGATTCTAGGATTTTCCTGCCTTGCAAAGCCTTTTGGCTGGAGGCTCGGGATGCCGCCGCTCTTCTGGCTGCGGGGCTGCATGTCCTGGGAGGGGGGGGGTCGGATTTACTACCTCTGGAGAACTAGTGACTTCTTTAGGGGCTTGAATGCTTTTTTTTTTTTTTTTTTTCCCTTTGCCTCCACATTATTAGGTTAATCATTGCTTGAACTGGTTGCTATGGTTTTGGCAAGCCCATGGAAACTTGATAATGAAGACTGAAAGACTCCTTTTCCATTTATCTTTTCTCTGTGTTTAGTGCACGATGGTCTCATTTCTCTTGGCGGGGCTGTCCCAGCGCCAGCGCCCTGCCTTTATGGCCGGGGCTGCCGCAACGAGCGGCCTCCGGGCTTTTTGATCTGGCAGAAACAGGTGGCCACGGGGCTTGTGCCCTCATGTGCTTGGGGAGAAACACGGCCCACGCGCTGCCAGATGTGCTCGTCTTTTTCGTTCTGCAGCCGGAGGAGACCCCCATGGCTACAAGCCAACGTTTCCTTGGGTCTAGGTCTCCTGCTGCTTGCACAAGAGGATTTTTGACCACGTCGTTCCCAAATAGCATCCCTCAGCTCCAAGAAGGGAGAAAACTTGGGCAATGCCCATGCTCCTGGGGCAGCACTTTTGACCTCAGGCCCCTCTCCGTGCCCTGAGGGTGGCTTTAAGCGCGCTGCCCCTGCCCTCTGGCTCCGTCCACGCCTGGCTGGCTCGCTCCTGGGGTTGGGATGCTCCTGGGGCCAGGATGCTCCTGGGGCTGGGATGCTCCCGAGGCCAGGATGCTCCTGTGCAGACCCTCTCCTCCCAGCTCCTGCACCTCCTGCACGTTTCGGCGTAGCCGCGCTCGCCGGGGAAGAAAAGGCGAAGAATCGGGATTCTTTCACATGGCCAGCCCTCAAAAGTCTGCCTTCCCCCCCAGCCCCTCGCGGCTATAATGACAATCCAAAGAGTTCCTGATAGGGTTTTAAAAGATGCTTATTCATTCACCGTCCACCAAGCATGAAAATCCAGCTCATTTGTTCATTTGTTTCCATTCTCCGCGCAAACGACCCCACAGGGGCTGGAGCCTGTTGCCGCAAACTTGTCACTCACACTTTTAACTTCTTTTTGTTGTACTCCTCTTTATTTCATTCTTCTGGGTCCCCACCTCCGCCACCACCCCACCCTCTCCTCCGGTCACAAAGGCAAGTCTGGGAATCTCTTTAAAGCCGCAGTGCCCCCTTTTAAAGCCCATACACAAAGCCGGGGCTGAAAGGAGATCACAAGTTTGCGCGAGGGGGAAACGCCGTCTGGGCCAGGGGCTGCACACGACGGGGAGGGCAGGCGGGGGCCGGCGCTGGAGGTTTCGTACGGCGGACGAAAAGGGCAAATCAATGCATATTTGCATCTGGAACCGGGCTGCGCCACGTCGGCTAACCCCAGAGAAGATCCCACTTGCTCACCGGCCTTTGGGAAATGCTGGGCACCAGCCCATGGAGGCCACCAGCTCGTCCCCATCCCTGGCTCCCTGCCCCCAGATGTGTCCTTTCCTCCAGCCAGACCTCGCGCCCGTGGGGCAGGGGAAGATTAATGGGGCAGGTGCTCGGTGCCGAAGCTGGCCCTTTCCCTGATAAGGTGGGAGCTGAGATAGCACTGGGTCAACACTCAGCGCGGCACGGTGGCCACCTGGAGCTGCTGCTGCAGCCACCAGAGGGTCAGTGAGGAAGGAGAGGACATGGGGTCAACATACGGGGTCCCTGGATTTTGGGTCCACCCTGTTATCTCTTGGGTTGGGAGCAACAACGTGTGTCTGACTGTGGGTTTCTTCAACCCCTCGTGTGCAAGAGCAGTGAGCAACGTGGGCTCGGGGAGCTCAAGGACATCACAGCAAGGAGACCTCCCCCGGCCCCGGGGGTCCCCTGACCTTGTGGCTCTGGCAATGATTTATCCCTGACACGGTGCTCGTAAACCTGCCAGGGCGCACCGCTGGGGGCCCCGCTCCCGGCCGGCCCCGTCTGCACGGGCAAAGCCAAGGTTTCAGCCTCCCCCGCCGTTAATAATTCCCGAGGGAGCGCGGCGCTGCCATTTGTCACCTCTCCTTCCAAACCCAGCTGCTATTTGTGTGCCCCCCCCGCCCCCCGCTGCGTCCCCTGATGCCCAAATGTGCAGGAGAGGGGAGCCGTGCGTGCGCCGATGGGTGTGCAGCGCTCCTGCCGTCAACCAACTGCTTTAGGCAGCAGAGCCCAGGGATAAACGTGATAAAAACAGGAAAAGGCACCTGTTGCTGGAAAAAAACAAAACAAAACAAAACAAAACACACCACAATTCAGGCTTCTGAGAAATTTTGGGGGATTTGAATCAAACCACTCACCTCCTGCTCCCCTTCTCTTGTCCTCTCCCCATGCCTGGTTGTACGGCCACCGAGGGTCCCCCTGTGTCCCCTAATTGCATGTCCCTCCCCTTCTCAGCCCACGATAAAATGCCATGGGATGCTCCGTGCCCGTGCCACCTCCTCGTCCTTTGCACCAGGGGGGTCTCATGGTCCCCCCGGGGAAGCTGCGAGCAGCTCGGGGGGCTCGGCCAGGAGGTGGTGCTGCCCCCGCGCCCGCTGGGCTGCGAGTGATGCTAAGTGCCAAAAAGCAGCGGTTTGGGGTTTGTTTTATTTTAAAAGCTCACCCTGTGACTGGGTAAGGTGAACTTATTTGCGGCACACAATGGAGTTGATAACTTTTTCCGTTCTTAGCTTTCCTGTGAGTAAACATCCATTCTTCTTACTTTTCACAAAAAAAGCGCTGGGGCTCCGAGCGCGCAGCGGCCAGTATTGTTCCCATCCCGACTGGGTGCCTCCCAGGCTGCGGAAGATTTTTCCTGTTGCCTGCCCAAATTTGTGATACACCAAGGGCAGCGCTGCCTTTCCCTGCCTGTGCTTGCACGAGAAATCCTGACCCTTGGTGTAGGGTGGGTGGAAGTGCCCTGCCGCAGTGCTGACGGACGGATGGACGGACGGACAGAGCGATGCAGGGGAGCTCCCCGGCTGTGCCTGGTGGGAGCTGCAGGCCCACAGCTCCTGCCCCAGGAGGTTTGTAGTGCCTGGGAATGGAGCTGAGGAAAGGTGTGGCCTCGCTTTTTATTTTTTTTCCCTTTTCCCTCTCCACTTGGCCGAATCCCTTGCTCGTGACGGGCTCTGTGTGTCCACGAGCCCACCGGCACCCTGCCCATCACCCTTTCCCCCAACTCCCCCGTTCCTATTTTTCATGACCCCGATGGCACGAAGGATTTGTGCACCTGGGCGCTGGCACACGAAGCTGTCCAGCGTGTGCATTTTGGCTGTGCTGCCTTTTGCTTGCCCAGCCCCTGCTTTTCTGTCCCTTCACGAGGAGCCCGGAGAAAGGGGTGGCTGCCAGAGGGGGGCCGTGCTTCCCGGCTGGCGGCAGGAAGACGGGGCTGCCACCGGGCTAAAAACGGGCCCGTGAGTCACCTCCAGCAGCCGCCTGGTGCTCTGGAAGGGGAGCGGGCAGGAGGAGGGAGGAGAGGAAGCCCTGGCGGCGCAGGAAGCAGCCCGCCGTGCCGCCGGGGAGCGGCCCGATATAGACGTTTCCTGGCCCCAAGGTCCCCACGGTTGCAGGGAAGGGGACCGGAGTGCTGTGGGATGGGTTCCCACCACCGGAGAGCCGAGCTGCCCACACCAGCTGGCGTTACACGGCATGGAGAGGTGCTGTCCCTGCGGGTCGGGTGCCTGGGCCAACAGCGCACAGCCTTGGCATCACGTTTCTATTAAAACAGACATTGGCATCCCCTCCTAACGCTCAAAACTCCTTATACATGGCTTTACACGGCCCTACTGATGGATCCCCACCACGTCACCCCCATATGGGGGCATTCACCATGTCCACGGGCCACCTGTGCCCTGCTGAGCCTCGTCCCCATGTGCCCAAGGAGGTTCCTGCGCCTTCCAGCCGTTCCCCCTCAGTACTTTAATCCCCCTCCCTCTTTTTCTGGAGCTCCGCTGCCTTCTTTGTGACCATGGCAGGTATTTCAATTCCCAAAGAAAAAGCGGGCTCTGGGAATCAAAGTGGCTTTTTAGAGCTTCCTGGAATTGCAGTGGCCAGGGGCTAATAAAAACGTGGGTTATGATGTGCTGTGGAGGCTGAAGCTCAGAAACAGGGGGGGCATTCATGGGGTGATCCCAAATGGAAAAAACGGGGAATTTCCGCATACCTGGGCTGGGCTACGCAGAGCCTGCCAGGAGCAGTGGCAGTGGCGAGGGAAGGGGCTGGCTTTGGTGTTATAGGGGCCTAGGGTGGAGCTGTAGGGGGACCTGGCACTCGTGCCCATGTATGCTGTGTTTTCACCGCATTGACTTCATTTACGGGCCTGATCCTGCTGCTGCAACCTGGTCAGTATGGGGAGAGTGCCCTTAATGGTGCTGAGCAGCCTCACCTGTGGTGTCCCCACACCAGAGTCTCTATTTGAGGTGGGAAATGGCCTGAATTTGGGGAGAGAAATGACTTCTTGCTCCGTGGGCTGGGTGGTTGCTGTGCCAAGGGGTTTTTCTGTCTGCCTCTCTTCGCCCCTTTCTGAGATTAAAGCCCAGCCCTTGAAGCTGTCCCTGCTTGGTGGCATGAAAAAAAGCCTGCTTTTTCCATTCCTCCTCCCAGCTGGGTGCTCTCCGTGATGGGAGAGCCATTTGGGGTGAGGGACCAGCCTGATGAGCAGTCCCTTTTAAGCAACCCCAATTTATGCACCACTGAACAGCCGCGGGAGGTTTCCAGCAGCTCATCCTCCATCCACGATGCCAGGAGCTGTGCTTTGGAGATGGGACGTGGAGGTGAAATAAGGTAACGCTGCCTGCTGGGGCAGCACGTCGAGTTGCTAAATTACCCTGGGTTAGGACGTTCCCTTTAATGCAGGAGATTTACAGCACATCAGTTCCCATAACAGCCTTTCCAGAGCCTCGGCGTGCAGCCGTGCGTGTATGGGAACAGGTTTGCTTGGGAAAAAATGTTTTGTTCTACCAAAAACCCCAGGGGCTACTTATTTTTTTATATATATTTTAGGACATGATATTTTTTTTTAATATTCTGCTTCTGGTTTGTAGGAAATCTGGCATGGGATGGGGAACATCGCCTGGCTGCGCTCTGCGAGGCTGAGCGCTCCTCTCCTGGCACGGAGCGGCCGGGCAGATCCACGGAGAGCGAGATGCTGCAGGAGGGATTAACCACAAAAAAGGTTGGGCAAAACAGCACTAGGGACCTCAAAAATAACGATGATGAAGAAGAAGAGGCTTGGCACGGAGCTGTGGGATCCCCCTAAAACCCAGCTCGTCCTCGTTTGGGACGCAGTGACAAGGACGGGCAGCGAGGGGCCGCGGGGCAGGTGCAGGGCGATGTGACATATGTTAAACAGCCCCGAGGAGCCTTTCAAGCCTCCCTTGTTTAAGAAATAAAAAAAATAAATAAAGAAAAAAAAATCCCCGTCTTTCTCCCTGTATTTAATGCATCTTTGTACGGACGCTAATTCCTCAAGTATCCGCGCCGGGGTTGACTTTTAGTATGTTTGTCCAGGCAGGCTGCCAGCGAGCGGCTCCGACACGGCTCCCAAGCTCTGACATTTGTTAACGGTGCCGTAAATCACGGCGGCTCTTTGGGTAAGGTTTTTTTTTTTTTTTTTCCTGACAAAACAGTGGAGGGGAGAGAAAGAGAGAGGAGACCACAACAAAATGCAAAGGGCTTGTTTAACGCAGGGAAGAGCGAGCGGCGCGAAGGAAGCAGATGGGGACAATGTGGGAAATGTCCAGCTCCGTGCGCTCTGCTCCCCCCCCGTGTCCCCTGTTGGTCGGTGGCTGATGGCTGGAAGAGGAGAGAGAGCCCCAGGTCGGTGTTTTTGGCTGAGGAAGGCAGTGAGGGTTGGCTGGCGGTGGAGAAACCTGCTGGGATTGAAAGGTCTTTGGGGGAAGCGTCAGACGGTGCCGGTAATGGTGTAATTATGTCCCTAATATCCCCCATACCGAGCCCCAGCATGTTTTGGGGGAGGATGTGTGGTGGAGCCCCTTCATAGCAGGGTGAAAGGCCATGTGGGAAGAGCTCAGTGTTTCTGAACCAGGAGCATCACCCCAAACCAGTGCCCCCCTCAGCAGCACCACCTCTCCCTGCGCCCCCCCTGCCGCGGGGTGCGCATTTATTTATCCCTCCCCGCCAGCCTTCTGCCTCCCCTCTTTTCCCCGGGCTTATTTATGGCCGTCGCCTTTCAGCTCCCGGCCGCCGCAGCCTGAACTTGGCCATTGTGCGCGGCTCGTCGCCGGGGCCATCAATCTGCGGGGCCAGCGTGCGGCCTGGTGGGCTTCCCGCAGCCCCATCAATTTCGTCCCTCCGGACGCGGGGCAGCTGCACTTGTGCCGCTGGTGGCCTCCCAGCAGCGCCGCGGGTGCCGGGTGGCCTTGGGAAGGCGCCCCGGGGGCTCGATGGGTTTGCCGGGAGCCGAAAAATGTGACCTGCAGTCGTGCCCTCGCTCTGCTCCTTCCTCCTCCTTTCTTCCTTCACCTGGAAAAAAAATCCCAGTGCTGGAGACCCATCTGGAGAAGTCCTTTAGGGAAGGGAAGGCCATAAATTTCCCTCCAGCCCCGACCTTTGCGGGAGCCGTGCGGAGGGAGAGGAAGCGTCTTCCCGGGGCGGTGACATCTAGGACGGGGTCTCCCCTGGCCGGGCCAGATGTTTTACAGATCTGCAAAGCCGGGCTGTCGGCGGTGAAAGGTGCCCGCGGCTTTGTGTCGAAGTCGAGGATGTTTGGGTGAGGTTAAACTGAGAAAAGCTGCACGAAGCTGGCCTGAGGGGCAAAGCCAAAAGGTCTGGTTAAAGCACAAGGCTTCCAGCCCGAGACGTAGTGGCTCAGGGTTCAGCTCTGCCACCGAGACCCCGCATGTCCTTGGGCACATCCCTTAACCCATCTCAACTACCCGCATGGGTAGGAGGAGTGATTGAGGCAGACCTGAGCCGTGCCTTTCCATTTCCCTGTTGCACAGCACATCTTTTTCTTTGGAAAACAACATAAAAATTGGAAGGGCTGTTCCCCAGAGCCTGAAGGGGGGGAAACTGGGGGTCTTCTCCCAGCCCGAGCCACCCTGCCATCACACCAGCCACTCCCCAGCACAGCGCTCGCGTTTTGGCACAGCCGAACAATCCCTGCTTTCTTCCCGGGGTGAGAGCGGGGCTGCCCCGGCTTCCCAAAGGGAGATTTATGAGGTGTTCGGCTGCAGGGGACGCAGCCTTCTAGCGGTGGGGTGTGAGTGAATGTTTTATCATTTAACCCAGGGCTTTCCCCCTCCTTTCCAGGAAAACCAGGCACGTCCTGAGGTGGTGTGCGTTGGCAAGGTGCTGCTCGGTGCCACTGCAACATCTCTGAGAGCAGGGCACGGGGCTGTTTCGCCGCTGATCCTGGTAAACCTCAGCACCTGCTTGAAGGAGGAGCAAGGGGTGGAGGTGATAAACCAGCTGGAGGTGATAAAGCACCACCCCTGGCTACCGTGCTGTGGGTCTCTTTGGTCTTTGGGTTGGCTGGAGGGTGCTGTGGCTCCAGGATTTTAAAGGAGTTTTCTTTAGGGAACCCCCAAGGGGAGGCGCAAAGTGGCCACGGAGGAAGATGGGGAGTTCTCGGAGAACCACAGGTGGGATGTAAAGAGCCTGCTCTGTGTCTGGAAGGGATTTTCTCTGCAGGAGACTTCCTCTCCTTCCTAGGGAGGACCTGTGGGTGCCCCCAGCCCACCCCCTGTGGCTGGAAGCTGAGACAGGAGGTAAGATGCGCCCCAAACCCACGTCAGCACATGTTGCTTCTCTGCAGCCATGTGGAGCATTGCTGGTGTGAGTTGCTAGCCGCTGCTTTGCAGGCAGCTCTGCACCTGTTTCCCCACAAGGGTTTAAAGCATAATAAAGGGATATAAATACTGCAGTGACGCTCACACGGGCCGGCTTACAGCCCCAACACAGCCCATCAGCTGTGCCTCCATGGGCACCATCCTTTGGGAAGGCAATTTGAGCCCCTCAGCCTCATGGCACCAGGGAAGGATGGCTGAGATTGTATTTTTTTTATTTTTTGGGGTGACAGGGGAAAGAAACCTCAGCATTGTTTGACATGTGTGCTTATGGAAATGTGCATTAGTGCCAGAGAGAGGCTCCTAGGGCTGCAAGAAGCCTCTTTGCAGGCCAGCAGAAGCAGCAGGTTGTGTTTTGGCCAGCTGTGTGGTAGCCACAGGGTGCTGCAGATGAAAGGGAAGCTGGAGGGTTGCAGCACTTTTTCTTTTTTTTTTTTATCACCTTTTCAGCATCCTGGTGGTGAGAGGGTCCTGGTGTCTCAGTGCTTGGCTTGGGGGAGCTGTCCTGCACCCCTTCCTTGCAGTGAAGGTGCTGGCTTTGCAATCAGGAGGGGGACAAAGCAGCCCTGGTGCTGCACCATCAACCGTGCTGGTTAGGCTAAAGGGGAAAAGCGTGCCCATGGGCAGCCTGTGCTGAGATTCAGCGTGGCCCCAAGGGTGGCCCTGACTGCTCCCTCCAGCACAGGCCCCTAATCCTATTTTTTGAAGTCACCCTCACTTGGCTGGGTGATGGCTGTGACTTCACGGGGAAGGATTAGGCCAGCCCAGAGCAGCAGGTGCTGGTGGCCGCAGCTCCCCTCTGGCTCGCAGCCCCGGCGCGCTCTTGCCTCTCTCCAGGGAAGGATTCTCTTTCCAGGAGATGGCAGCAGCTTTTCGGAGCTGGGGCTGCGTTTCCAGCCTGTTCCTGAGGACCAGAAGCTGGGATGCAGGAGGAAGGGGGAAAAAGGGGAGGCCTGGGGAGCTGCAGCAGTGGCTCATGGCAAGCCTGTCTCCAGCGATGCTCCTGGAGTTGTATGTGCCTTCAGGGCTCCCTGCCTCACAGGAGACATCGTTAATGCTTGTGGTTAATTTTTTAATGGCCTTCTTTAGGGATTTTCTCTTCTTGTGCACGTAAAGTGTTGGGAAACTTTACAGAGCAACGGTTTTGTGCACACCAGAGCTTTTTCCCCAAGGCACACGAGTGCTTCCTAAAGGTGTAGGTGGGAGCTGAGGGCTGGAGGCACCGATCCTGTCACCAAGCTGCCACGTGGCCATTCAGGTGACCATTCAGAGCTGTCACTTCTCTTCTAGCTGGGGAAAAGCACGTTGGCAGGAGAGCCATTGGGCCCAGGTCTGCTGGGAGGACAGGACTTAGGCTTTGCCCCCAAAGTAGCCCAGAGGAGGGAGATGGAGCCCAGGGATGGGGCATCCTACAGGGGGATGGGTGAGCCCAGCATTTACGGCAAACTCGGCTGCTGAGAAGAGCTGAAACTTTCCAAGCTTCTGCCCAAACCAGCCTCCCAGGGAGAGCAAACCCCCAAATTCCAGGGAAGAAGTTAAAAAGAGAATAGCACAAATAGCACAAGGATTGCATTTTACGGTGAATTCTTTAGATCTCGGTGCCACTGAGCAATCTGCTTGCTCAAAGCAGAACAACTGCGCTTGCATCCTTCATACCGTGAGTCCTCTGGGGCCTGGGCAGCGGTATTTTGGGAAACAATGTGGTGCTCAAAGCTTCACCAATGCTACGTTCATCTGAAAGCTGTTTGAACTGCAGCTTCAGCCCCTGGGCACAAAAAAAAAACAACCCTCTGAGGCTGCCCCCAAAGCCTTCCAGCACAAAGCAAAGGGGTTTCGGGAAAGCAAACGGGAAATGCTTTGGAAATCGGTCACAGCGGTCGGCGTTTGCTGTCGCCGGGCTCCTCCTGGCATCCCTTGGGGTGGATGTGGCCTTGGCTGTGTAAGCTCTTGCACATGGTGGAAAACTCAGCTGTGTTGCAGGGTGGAGGGTTTGGGGCCGTATTGCTTCCTGCTTCTGCTTTCTGGTGCTGAGCAGAGCCCTGAGAGCCTCCCCTGGCTCCCAGGTGGGCTCTGCGTGTGGGGCTCTGCCATCCAGGACCTTGCTTGTTCGCCCCCACCCTTCACCTTGCCAAGCGCAAGCCCTCCACAGAATGCATCAGGAGTGACACCCGCTCTGTGCTGCAGCAGCCCCATCACCTGCCGTGGCCCTCCTCCTCCTGCTCTTCCTCCTGCCCTGTCCCACCAGAGGCTCTGCAACATGACCAGCTCCCCCAGCTGACGCTTTCTGGCCTCACGGCTTTGCGAGTGGCTCCAGAGACAGCTGGAGGCTTCCTGGGCTGCTCATAAATAAACCCTGTCCGTCAGTCCCTCTGGGTGCCTGTCTGCTGCCCTGGTCCCTGGAGGGGGGAGGGAAGAGGCTGTGGGGTCAGCAGAGGGTTTGTCCCCAGCAGGGTGCCCAGAGCATCCCTGCCAGGGTGTTGTGCCCTTCCTTGGGCGCTTGCTCTGGTCTCATCAAAATCTTGGTCTTGTGGTTGGAGAATGTAGGTTTTGGAAGGCCCCAAGGTTGTGAATGGGATAAATCTTAGACACAGACTAAGAGGGGTGTG